TAACCAAATATTAGTGCAAGGTATAAATACTGGACACATTGTTGTTTTTTGCACGAATTTTTAATAAAGGAAATATTTTTTCTAACATTTTTTAGATTTTATGCGAAATATCTAGAGAAAAGAAAGTATTTAAATAAATTGCATTTTTAAAAGGGGCATAACTCTCAAAACGAAATCTGCAAATCAGGTAGTTGAAAAATAATTAGAAACATTTCATTTACATAAGTGGTCTAGAACTTTATGCTTCCAATACATTTGAAATATATTTTTAAAGTGTATCTCAACCAAATTTCTTCAAATGCTTATTTCAAAATAGTGTTTCAGACTTTCTGCAGAAATGTGTATTTGGGTAGAAAGTCGTATCCTCATCACTTCCGTTGAAAACGCTAACATCCTTGTGTAAAATTGGGCGAAACGACTGTTGAAGTGCCTAAACCTTTATGAGAGTTGGTGGTTAATGAAAAGAATATTTAACCTACGACATGAGTTGATGATTTTAGGGCTATGTGTAGATTTATGAGACAATTCAACAAAAATTCCTCGGCAGTGCCTCTCGGTTTGCAGACGAAGTTGGCAACCTTGTTAATTTATATATATAGGGTAGGGTAGTAATTTTTATAAAATGTTTAAGTCAATTTTCCGAATTGATGATATGGATATTATATCACAAATGTGTCATCCATATATAATTTATGAGAAAAGAGTCGAACAGACATGGGGGTCTGTATTGGGGGGGGGGGGGGTCCTGTCCTCAAGCACCTGTGAGTGGGACAGGATTTTTTGATATTTTCACGAGTGCAAAGCACGAGTGAAAATATAAAAAAAAATCCTGTCTCACGAGTGAAAAAAATTCCATATTCATCACAAAACATTGAATTATCTATTTATTACATTTTCTTAGATTTTCCCTTTGCCTCTGTCTCTTCGTAACACAGTGTCATAGGCTTTGACGTCATAGTTAGGCGGTTGAGACGTCAAAGCTAAGTGATTGCGAGATTGAAAATACGTTGTACACATGGATTTTAAACGATATACTTGGAAAAACTTTGGCAATATAACTAGTAGTCTCTATCAGGATGGCTCATTAACTCTATCTCATAACAGGCCGGGTTTTTTAAAAAACACTCTTCGTTGAGTGAAGGAAAATCGTAAGTTTTGCCGCACTTCTGATATTTTCACACTGTGAGAATACCCTGATATTTTCACACTGTGAGAATACCATTTTGATATCCTTTCACACTGAATATCACTTTTATTCAGTAAATGAATTACAGTATTTCACTGTTGAAAATGTAATAAAACTTAGGTAGCTTTTAAATTCATTCCATAAATAATTTTGACATCGCATGTCGAAATGTTTTGACGTCATAATTACACTACTAATAACAATTACGTCATATGCTCGAGATTCCTTGAACGCTCCGCCCACTGAGCATTTTGATTTGTTTAAGGTATGTCACTCGTGAAATTAGTTACACCAAGGATTTTTTTGAGAAGTACATGTATACTACTCATATAGCATAATTCAAAATCGCAAAGGAAACGGGGTCCGTGTGCATCTTACTGAGCAACAGTACAATTAACTTGACCTTTTTGCACTTATATTGTAACTCTTAGGTAAATCACTTTAATCTCTATAATAGTTTGTCAGATGTTATCATGGCAATAAATCTTATTTACGTAAAATAGTTTGAATAATCTTTAATATTGAACAAATCATGGAAATTAATTAATGCGCATAAATAGTGAGACCTTTTTGTACTAAAAAAAAGTATCGTGTTTGTGATATTAGAATCTAAATAGGCAATTTTTTTTCTTGTATTAAACTTTTTATCATTTTAGTGCTGATCGGTTTGAAGTATATCGTGTTGTTTGAATTAATGAAAGGAAAAGTTGGGGTTAGTGATGTAAATTTTGCGATATTGGTCAAAAAATGCGATTTTCAGGAGAGGAAAAAACTGTAAATTTTATCATGACTTCTTAATATTATCTTCATTTCTTGGCAAAGTCTGCTGAGTGAATGTATAAAATTTGTTCTAAAAATATACATTTAAACCTATCTCTAATATTCCTAGCATATATTGACGGAAAATATTCTTTGAGTAAAAATATGTGGGCTAAAGTTCCAAGATCACTGTGTAGAAACGGACTAGGGTAAAGTGCGTTACCCTAGTCCAAGATGGCGATAGGCAAAAACGCTTCGAATTTTCTTGTACAAATATTGGTGATTTCTGGCTTAAAGTTTTATTTTATTTTGCACCAATTTGTCGGGCAGCTTCAGTTTTACATGCTTGCATGGAGATTGTATTCAACTTTAGCGTAATTAGGAAGAAAATGCACGTCAAAGTTTTGCTGCAGATTAGGGTAAAGTTTCTGAACTATTTATTTACGATTAGGGTAAAGTTTTTTCGAGACTAGGGTAAAGTTATTTATTCTACAACCTGATAGTGCACGAATTTGATTTTTTAAACTGCTTTATACAATAAGTATAGTTGGAAAAGGCTTTCTCGAAAGTGTTCAAGAACTGTTGCTTCCACGAAATCATACCGGTTGCTATTTTTTAATAACCACAATTTTCATACAAAATATTACTCTTATTATGATCGTTATATTTTCCGTTTCATGTACATGTATTATTTTATTGTTAAATAAATACACATGTATAAATGATGTAATTAATTTATTTGATTTAACTTTAATTCCTGTATGAATCTAAATCCGCGTTGCATGCATCCCTTAATCCCCACTTTGGGCGAAATCATCGAAATGACTCATCAACCTTTGTTTAATTTGCATTTGTTGGTACTCGACAGTACGGAATGTTGACCGAGTTAAATCTGCATTGCGGATAATTGAAATAAACTTTTATCAACTGAAATACGAAAATAACAAACAGTATTCATGCTCAAAGTCCAATTAAACAATACAAATTGTGAACTGAGCAAAGAAGGACCTCGGAAAACATCCGAGGTGAGATCTGGCCTGGAGGTTATAAAACTTTCTGAGTATGTACTCAGTGCTCAAACTCAAACTCTGTACTCCAAAACCATACTCATGCTTAAAATTCCTCTCTAATTTGTATATAAAATTTGAGTATGAGTAAGGTTTTAGAGAACGGAGTATGAGTTTGAGGACAGAGTATGTACTCAAAAAGTTTTATAACCTCCAGGCCAGGTGTCGTGGGGAGTAAGCATCATCTTTCGATTGGTCACCTCACCACGTATCCTTCGTTTTAATCTGATAAACGGAAAATGTGTCCACAATTCAGTAGGAAAATTATGAACTAACAATTTATATGAAAGACATCAGTCAACATTTGAGCTAACAATATAATATATTTGCTGACAAGATCATTGCATTGAACACTAAATTCGCGAAATGTTGGCTTTTAAACGAAATTGTTGATACCATTGTGTCATCAACTTATTTGTCAGCAGTCTGCCTCGTTTAGATATTGTTCGTACGAAAATATGCTCCTGATTATCGGTTATATTGACGTTATTTAATTACTTCGATTTATTTCAAAGTTAAGAAATGAAAGTAATGTTATTGTAATTTTTGGCGGAAAAAGAATGCCTACTTCACTAAGATGTGATTCTAGCTGGAGTTGTAACACCCCCCCCCTTCCCTCAAAAAGCATAAAAGAAAGAAAGGATAAAAGAAAATCGGGTAGTTACATTAATATTGCTCCTACGATCATGAGCTTTTGCCCCCGTTGAGATGACAAGAGACATAAATAACATATAATAAATGTGTCTTCGAGATGGCGAATGATTACCCACGTGGCCTCAATATCACATTTGTATGGATAAACTCAGAAAGATAATACAAATACGTGTAAATTTTCATTGGAAATTTGCTATATTTTCTGTTCATATATATATATATATGATTTCTTATTTTCTTATTAGAGAAATTATAAAATAACAAATATATATATATATACTTACTACTTCTTTTGTCTTCTCTGATTTGAACACCGTGATTTAGCGTGAATGTAATGCGCGCGCGCAAGATTGTAAAATCCAAAAAATCCAGATGATTTCCGGAATTTTTTGTGGAATTTTCGTTGATTATTAATTAGCGAAGGCTAATTGAGAAAAAATAAAAACAAATTGGTAATCTTCAAGTACCAATTATGTTTAAAATATATAAAACAAAAGACAGTACTCTTCCGATTTTTCGGTATTAAAGGCCAAAAATTCGAGTCTATTATTCTAATATAGTAGTATAGATATCTCTCTAAGTGAAAAAGATATCTCTATAACGCTAAAAATATTTCTCTTAGCAGAAGAGATATCTTCCTAAAGGAAAAAGATATCTTTCTAAGTAAAGAGATATTTCTTTATGTGAAAGAGATATCTTTCCTAGAGAGGTCTCTCTAAATTAAGAGATATTTCTTTTTTTTTTTAAAAAAGAGATGTCTCTTTAATAAGATATTTCTATTTTAAATACAGAGATATATTTTTTTCGAATAAATATTGAAAGGGCTCGCCATATCCCACGCTTAAATCGCTGAACTGCAAATATACAGTGTTATCTGCAAATCGCACTTTAAAGATATTTTTATGTAATTTGAATAAGGTATTGTCAATCGTGATGACTTATATCAAGGATTTTTCAAGAAGAATATTTTTGATAACTATCCACATAACATGACTCAAAATAAGAAAGCTTGGGGTCACTGTGCACCATACTGAGCAATGGTCTGATTAACTTGACCTTTTTGCACTTAAATTGTAACTTTTAGGTTAATCACTTTAACAAGTTGACAAAGTTAACAAATTGACTTTAAACTGTGTCTGTATTTAATTGCGGAGTCGGTATTGTTTTAAATTTCTAATATCTTTGAAATGTGATTGATTTAGATTGTGTAATTTACAGGAAAGTTCTATCTTTATATAAAGTTATAAACAAATAGAAAGATCTCTTTAATTTTAGTTAGTCTGAACTTATACAAAATACGCCATATATGACTTTAAATTACTCATAATTTGCAGGATATCTAGGCGGATCAGAGTATAAAACTCCCGGGGCTACCGTTACCACTGTTTGTCTCTCCCCAGACCCAATATTTGGTAGTAGGAATCCTGTTCATCTCTCTAATAATATGCATGGATCAGAAATAGACACCGACTTCTTTGGACCCGGGACTGGTACGCAAGACAATACTTGTGCAGTGTGCAAAAGTAGACTCCATACCACATCTGTCATGATACCAGGAAGAAATGAGTGTTATCAGGGATGGAAGAAACAATATAGTGGATATCTGATGTCAAGTCCCGTTGGTAATTACTCTCCCAAGGATAGTATTTGTTTGAACGAGCATCCGGAATTCGTTGTGGGGGGAGGTGTCAACAGCAATGGTAATCTCCTGTATCCAATCAAAGCAGTTTGTGGTTCTCTAGAGTGTCCACCATATGTAGATGGAAAGCTGATAACATGTGTCGTTTGTACACAATAATAAATAAACAGAAGTAAAAAATTTGCTGAAGGACCACTTTTTTGTCCATTTATCTTATGTTGCGTAATGGCTTATGTTAAACAAGAGGCCCAGGGGCCACATCGCTCACCTGAGCACTATGGCTAGGAAAAAGCAGAAATCACTTCAATCTTGAAAGGTTGAAAAGTTTAAATATAAAAGTGGGGGGGGGGGGGGGTGTCAGGAATTGAACAAATTTGAATCTACATTATCTGAGGATGCTTCCATTTAAATATGACCAATCATGGCTTTGCTGTTCTTGAGTAGAAGATTTTTAAAGATTTAACCTATGTATTCCTATGTAAAACTTTGATCACCCATTGTGGCCCCACCCGACCCCCAGGGGTCATGATTGAACAAACTTGAATGTACACTATCTAAGAATGCTTCCATATAAATATGACCAATCATGGCTTTGCTATTCTTAACAAATAGTTTTTTTAAAAAGATTTTTACTATGTGTTCCAATGTAAAACTTTGATCGCCCATTGTGGCCCCACCCGACCCCCGGGGTCATGATTCGAACAAATTTGTATGTACACTATCTGAGGATGCTACCATATAAATATGACCAATCATGGCTTTGCTATTCTTAACAAATTGTTTTTTTTATAGAATTTTTACTATGTGTTCCTATGTAAAACTTTGATCGCCCATTGTGGCCCCACCCGACCCCCGGGGGTCATGATTTGAACAAATTTGAATGTACACTATCTGAGTATGCTACCATATAAATATGACCAATCATGGCTTTGCTGTTCTTGAGAAGAAGATTTTTACTATGTGTTCCTATGTAAAACTTTGATCGCCCATTGTGGTCCCACCCGACCCCCGGGGGTCATGAGTTGAACAAACTTGAATCTACACTACCTGAGGATGCTACCATATAAATATGACCAATGATGGCTTTGTTGTTCTTGAGAAGAAGATTTCTAAAGATTTTTCCTATACATTCCTATGCAAAACTTTGATCGCCCATTGTGGCCCCACCCGACCCCCAGGGGTCATGATTTGAACAAATTTGAATCTACACTACCTGAGGATGCTTCCATGTAAATATGACCAATGATGGCTTTGCCGTTCTTGAGAAGAAGATTTTTAAATATTTTTCCTATATATTCCTATGTAAAACTTTGATCGCCCATTGTGGCCCCACCCTACCCCCGGGGGTCATGATTTGAACAAACTTGAATCTACACTACCTGAGGATGCTTCCAAGTAAATATGAACAATCATGGCTTTGCTGTTCTTGAGAAGAAGATTTTTGAAGATTTTTCCTATATATTCCTATATAAAAATTTGATCGCCCATTGTGGCCCCACCCGACCCCCTGGGGGTCATGATTTGAACAAACTGGAATGTACACTATCTGAGGATGCTACCATATAAATATGACCAAGTTTGGCTTTGCTGTTCTTGAGAAGAAGATTTTTAAAGATTTTTCTTGTATATTTCCTATGTAAAACTTTGATCGCCCATTGCGGCCCCACCCTACCCCCGGGGGTCATGATTTGAACAAACTTGAATCTACACTACCTGAGGATGCTTCCACATAAGTTTCATGTTTTCAAGCACAGTGGTTCTTGAGAAGAAGATTTTTTAATGTTGCCATTAATTTTTCACGAATTCTTAATTATCTCCCCTTGGAAGAGGGCGTGGCCCTTCATTTGAACAAACTTGAATCCCCTTTACCCAAGGATACTTTGTGGCAAGTTTGGTTGAAATTGGCCCAGTGGTTCTTGAGAAGAAGTCGAAAATGTGAAAAGTTTACAGACGGACAGACAGACAGACAGACGGACTACAGACAAAATGTGATCAGAAAAGCTCACTTGAGCCTTCGGCTCAGGTGAGCTAAAAAGTCTATCCTTGGTAGTATCAAATGACATGGAAAGCTTTTTAAGATCATAAATAGTAAACATATGTATAGTAAAATATAATGAGAGAATTATGATAATAGAAAGAATTGGATGGTGAGAATATTTTTAACATAAATTTTAAGATGTGGTATACGATGATAGTCCTCCTGTTTACAATTCATAATGACTTTCGCTTGCGAATGCTGCAAATCGCAATCCAGCTTCTCATGGTACAGAGTTCCATTTTGCTTAATTAAATAATCGGCTATACTATTTTAACCCAAAAAATCACTTTGGGAAGCGTTTATACTCTTTAACAACCTGTTCGAAAATATTTTTTTTCTCACTCAAAAACGCAAAAGACTATGTCTCTTTCAGCAAATCAACCTTGTAGTTTAGCCAGCATATACATGTATGCTCTAATTCGATCTTTCGTGTGCAAGAGTGGGTAGCTCGTTCGTGTTTAGACTGTTCGCTGATAAAATCAAGTTTGAAGAATTCATACTTTAATTATATATTGTTAGAACATTGATATATAAATTGATGAGGGTCAAACCATTCACTATCCCCTTTGAGATAACCGTTAACATACATGTACGGGCGCGTTGTTTTACGCTTCTATTTAAAAAGATATATATGTAAATATTACCTAAATTGACCACTGCAATAATTAACCTCAAATATCAACTGCAATGAAGAAGACAAAAACACCTTTTACATAAATTATATATATATAAATAAATATTTTTCATGTCATTACTTTGGCTTTGAATGGCTGCTTAATTTGGCCTTTCGGAGAAGTATCTTTGTTAATATAGCCTTCAAGCAATAATTCTGAATGTTCATTTAGTTGTCAGATACAGCGAATGATGACATTATTTAGCCTAATTCAGATCTAAAACTAGTTCTTATCGTTCGTTAAAAGAATTCGATTTCCCGCGATGACCGAAAGTAGAGATGCGAAAAAATGATTATAAATGAATTCTAGTTTATTGAACGATGTCAAAAGTTTTCATCCTCTTCTAGAATACCATATCTCCCTAGCTTTTTCTTGTCGGGGATGTCGACAAATCCAATGTAATCACGGAAATTTGTGCACCTGTCGTTCTCAGACACATGCTTGAAATCTGTGGAAACATTGGATAAATTTTTTTTTAAATGCCCCTAGTTCAAATCACTCGATATCTAATGAGATTTTATGACGAGTGGCCCCAAAAATGGGTACCTAAGCGAACCAAAAATGAATTTTGTAGAAAAGCGGTAGATTTACGAATAAAAGCGATAGGCGGAAGAGATGGAGTAAAAAAGCAGTAGACTTCCACCTAAAGCAGTTGAGTTAACATGTATGGTGTATATACAGCTCAAAAAACTTTTGAAACCTTATAATTTTGTGAACGATTTAAATGCACACTTCGGAAAGAAAAGTATGTAGTTTTTAACAAAGATACAAACATAAGCTATTGACTTTAAATTTGGCAATTTCATGATTAATTCGTTGTCCGGTGATTTTTCTCTAAAACTTTTTTCTCTCCTAGGTTATTTCTCTCTACTACCATTTCACGGTCGGTCATTTCACTCTCCTACCTAGGTTATTTCACTCCATTTTTATCTGGTCTAATAAAATTATTTACAACTCCATTCTTGTGTTATTAACTTTTATCTGGTCAAATAAATTAATTTAATCAATTTATAACACTTATAAAAACTGAACGAGAGGAATGCTGTCGGTATCTTATTTACAGGATAAAATAATTTAATTATTTAATAAAAACAATAAATTGATACCGTTGCCCAGCCCTTGCCACGTGGAGGCCTCCTCGATAAGGACCATAAATTTGAAAGAAAAATTTAAAGCCAAAGTTAATAAATTTATTAAAATGATCAATCCTTACCTTATCCGATAATGAAATTTTGTCTTTGAACAAAATATTATATAAATCAAACTCGAAACCAAAGAAAAAAATAATATCTGTGAAAATTTTACTTTTATCGATTGATTTCATAAGTGTAACATGTATTTACGAATCAAAAATAAAAAAGTTTCAAATAACATACTTAGCTCAAAATCATACGACAAAAAAGAAGGGGGAGAGGGGAACAAATCTGACGTAAAATATAATTTTTAGAAAAAATGACACTAGTATATTAAGAAACCAAAAATGTAAATATTAACAAGATTTTTAAGTAATCGTACATTTTTAAACTAAAAAAGATAGGAAAGCGATGAATACAGAAACGTAAAAAAGTGCTATTAATATAAAAAAAAAAAAACTAAAATACAATATTTACTTATTGACAATCTATACAATATGTACAAAGTAGCCAAATCTAACGAATAACAGTTAATTTAGCAAAAAAAAAAAAAAAAAAAATTTAAAAAAATTATAACGGATTATCAGATTTCGAAGATGAATTTACTCAGTGAGACAATAGACACCTCCACAAATTCGCAGGAAATGGCTTGTAGTGAAGATCTTATCGTCATATTCCCCCACGCTTGCCGAAGTTTCTTCTCCACCCTTTTGCTGGTCATTCTTGCATCGTGATACAGGTCCTGTGTGGAAACCTGGACGTGCACAATTTCAGCCATCTTCTGCAGCAGAGGAACCAAGAGGTAGAACCCGAAGTTTCCGTGCCCAGCTTTGCCATTGCGAGGATTGTGCCATCCTAGGTAATTGTTTTAAGAATAAGCAAGTCAATAAAATTAAGGGGGTTGGGAAGGAGGGAGGGGAGTTAATTATATAAGGTACATATGAAACAGTTAAATCTTCTACATGCCTTCGGTATCGTTTTTGGTACGAATCTCCTGTTTGTTTGTTTGTATGTTGTTTAACGTTCCTCTCGAGAATTTTTCACTCATATGGAGACGCCACCACTTGCCGGTGGAGAGCTGCAAATTTTGTCCTATACTCGGCACTTACGGCCATTGAGCAGTGAGGGATCTTTTTCGTGCCAGCACCTACTGCGACATGGGACCTCGGTTTATACGGTCTCATCCGAAAGACCGGTCTCCACGTCCCACAGTGGGATTGAGCCCGCGACGTAAGGATCAACTCCTTACTCCGCGACTCTAGAGCAGACGCTCTAACCACTGCGCCACGCGGGCGACCTCCTGCTCGTAGATGGACCAGGCGGGAATAGGGAATACTGCGTTGCTAATACACTGTCTCTCCATGTAGTGTGTGAGGGACAGAAGAGAAGAAGATGGTTGAACCTTTTCTTGCATTGCCCGGAATGTGGTTTTGATGTCATGTAAAGGCAGAAATGGAAGGATCATTAACTGTTTAATAACCAGTGAGTTGCCTTTTTCTCATGATAGGTGGCAGCAAGTCCAATGCCCTGCACATGTCTCCATAATGCCTGTGTGCTAGCAACCTAGCAATTACCCGATTTGAATGAAATGATACTAAAGTACGTATAGCTGTTGTTCAATGTCATCAGAGAAGAAGCAAACATTCCGAACTTTGGAATATTTTAATAAATAACAAAACCAATCACATCCCATTCGTACATCAAGACATCATTTTTTATCGACTGATGTCATAAATGTATATTTATAAACACCAAACCGTGATTTCTTGGGTTTGAAAGACAGAAAGCGCAAATTTTAGAATTCACTTTCGGTGGCGAGCGGAAGTGCTCTGGACGAAAAAATTTAAAGTAAATTGATGTAGATTTATCTGCCATGCTCTGTAGTTTCTGAAATCAGGTAATTGTTAGGTTGCTAGCACACAATTTAAAAAGGAAAAAGACTTTGATAATTCAAATTTTTAGATTTATGAATTTGGAGTAGCTGCAGATGTTAAGCTCGATGGTCTGAAAAATTGAGATAGACGAAGAGATTTTGTCAGTAATTTTTCGGAGAGCTTCAGTTTTGTAGCTATAATTTGAAGAAAAGGTCAACTAGTCGGATCAAAACAAAAAACTACACATATTAAACTTTACACAGGGCTCACGGCGGCTGTGACCGATCAACCTCGGATGCTTACTTAGTATCACCTCTGGAATTTCTAGATATTTTCTAGATACTTGTATTGTTAATAGATTTTTTAGAATAAAAATTAAGTCTTGCGAAAGGCCTTCCCCTAAGTTGACAACAAAGCACTTTTACACAGATCGAAACCTCATTATTGAAGATACATGTACACGCATCTCAGCACAATAAAAAACAAATAGTCATTTTTTCACAAATATTTTAAAAGCAGCCTTTTTCAATCATTTTAGGAAGAATATAACAATAAATCTTAAAATCAATTGGGATAATTTAGTTAATTTTGGTGGAAAACTAAACCGCACAAGGTAATTGCTATTGGATTTACAATATGACGTCAAACTAGTATGGCTTCACCTTAAATCGAATGTTGACTGACTGACGTTTTTCATACTAATTGTTAGGCCATTTTTTTTCACGCTTAACTGTCCACGGATTTTTCCATTTGTCCGATCACGACAAGGAGCCCACATTAAGTGTGACTAATGGATAGGGGATGCTTACTCCTCCATGGCACCTGATCCCACTTCTGATGTATTTAGAGGTCTGTTTTTGCTCTGCTCCCAAATTGTACTGTTCTAATGGATTTTGGGCTTGATTACTATTCGTTATCTACACATTTCACATGATATTATGTTTTCAGAACAGAATAAAAATCGCCCAATAGATACGTATTTTTAAAACTTTTTTGCGAAATCTTTCTTTATCATCCGATTCATATTTGTATATTTTACAGATCATAGACGTTTATAGTGAAATATATGGAAATAACGAACAGTATTCAAGCTCAAAAGTCCATTAAACAATAAAAATCAGGAGCAGAGCAAACACGGACCTCAAAAACATCAGAGGTGGGATCATGTGCCATGGAGGAGTAAGCATCCCATGCCGACCGGTCACACCCGTCGTGTTCTCCTTGTCGTAATCGGGAAATAACGGGAAAATCCGTGGACAATTCAGTGAGTAAGTAATGGCCTAACAATTAGTATGAAAAATGTCAGTAAGCACTTGACTTAATGATATATTGTATTTGCTGACAAGGTCATTGTATCGACCATAGAACTTAGAAATATGATTTTAAACGAGACTGCTGATATTCTTGTTTCATCAATTAGTTTGTCAATAAACTACCTCGTTTTAGAAATTTGTCATACGTAGTGCATGCTCTTGCGTATCGAATCAACAGAGATATATATATATATATATATAAACCCCGTATGCAGGTGATAAAGGTATATTGCTCAATAAGTAAGGGAAGTTGACGATTGAAAAGTAAGTCATCACGTTTATCATAAAGCTAACAACTAAACTATATGACAAACTAGATGACTTTCGGATCGGCTTTTCTATCGCAATCTTCGTACATGTATTTATGTAGTAATATTCTACTATCGCTTGCATATGGTGTTTAAACCAACCTCTTAACTTATTCGGTACTTTAGGGTATGCTCTGAGTACTATCAACTTTTATGCAGATCGAGACAGGATACTGAAAAATAAGATGTTACAGGGCTTTCAACAGTAATCATCAAAGTCAGCATTTCGAAAATTCCTGGGTCATAATGACCTGATTAGCAAATACATTTATTTTTCCATTTTATGATTGATTGATTGATTGTATATTGTTTTACGTCCCATTCGAGAATTTTTCACTCATATAGAGACGTCACCTTTTTACCTTGACCTTGTTTTACAAAATTTTACCCAACTTTAACCTTGGCCATAACTTTGAACAGTTGGTTCAAGGGCTTTCATACTTCACATGTGTAATCCTTGTGACAAGACCTTCCTGTAGATACCAACAATTATAGCCCATTGATCTTGTCCTCGGAGTTTGACCTACTTTAGGAAAACTTTAAGCTTGGTCATTACTTTTGAGCAGTAGGTGCTTGGGCTTTCATACTTCATATATGTAATCCTTGTGACAAGACCTTCCTTTGGATACCAACAACTTTGACCCTTTGACCTTGGAGTTTGTCCTACTTTTAAAAAACTTTAACCTTTGCCATAATCTTTTGAACGGTTGGTGGGCTTTCATTCTTCACATGTATAATTCTTGTGAGAAGGCCTTTCCTTAGGCACCATTAATTTTGACATTTGACTTCGACCTTGATGTTTGATTTACTTTTGAAAAACTTAAACCTTTTCCGTATCTTTTCAATGGTTGCTGCTAGGATGTTTATATTTCACAAGTATATTTTTGGAAGACTTTACTTCGGGTACCAACATATTTGATTTGCATTTGAGAAAGTTTAACCTTCGTTATAAGTTAAGGGGGCATCAGTGTTTCACAAACACATCTGTTTTTCTTAATTTTAAAGGTTATGCATTGTGTAATTTTAGATTCTTAATAACTTTAACAAATTTTCAAATATCCATAAGACCATATTGTTCATGATTTTTTTATTTTTTTTTTATTTTTTTTTTATTTTTTTGCATTATGACGAGTTACATGTACTTAATCTCATTATTGTTAAACTTTGAATGAAGAATCAAAATATTTGCAGTTAAAGATTTAGTTTATTTACATATGTAATAAAACAAAACTTAAGTTGTTTTTTCAAGATTTTTGAGAAAGAGTTTGAATCATCTGACTTAAAGCAAGATCTAGGATTCCTCTGATAAAGGAGAACATCCAGAAAATAAAAGATGGAACATGTATATAGCACATATGTAGATTAATTGCACATTTGGGACAAGATATGCATGATCATTTTTTGTTCACTCCATTCCTTTGCAGTTTCTGGGTTTTATGGAAGTTTTACGTGCAGTTAAGGTTAAAATTGCTTGCATCTCCACCTCCATTTGCCATATATATTGGATAGTTAATTAATGGGTTCTTTCGGTTTTAATGAAAATCGATGAAGGGCATCTAAAACATCACACAATTCTAATCATTCAAATTGTAGGATACCTTAGCTCTATGTCTGAAAATTTCATGTATGTTGTGTACTGTTGACTTAAAAATACATGCACTCACACGCAACTAGATTCGCCATGTCAAAGGACATATGCAAGTTTACAAATTCACCGGGGCTTATCTAATGATCCTATTAAATATAAATTTTACAATTTTGTTTTATTTGTTCTTGAATAGATGATGACGAATTTTCATTAATTTATATCTTTTCTTCATAGAGTAAAAATAAATGTCTCAATAATTTCCGAACGGCCCTCAAATTTGATTTAAAATTTCAAAGCAGAAAGCATCAGAAATTATTTCAACCTACCTTTCTAAATTAGATTTTAACTTGAGCATTTTATTTAAAAAATGCTATCAGTTTTGAAATATTTTCCTTACAAAAATTGCACTGTGTTTCTCTTATGCTTGTCAAATTCAGTTTTATCAAAATTAATCATCCCTCTTTTATTATTTAAATATTAAAAAAAAATATTGAACGACCTGTTACAAAACACTAAAAAATGTTGTATAAAAGGTGCATGTTGGCCATGTTTTAGTTCAGTGATAATGGGGCGGTTTGGTTTACTTGCTGTTTTGGGTTTGTGTTTAGTAGGGGATATTCATGGAGCAGGATACATTGGGAAGCGTCCATCATCGCAGGGACAGTGTCACTACCAAAATATCAATGCTGCTCACTTCAGTTACGAAATAAACCACTGTGAAGGTAGGTTGTCAGATTAATACTTTTTTTTAAAGTATTTCATATTCCCAAAATACCACTGTATATGTATTTAGATGGCAGAATATTGGAGTTTTATGAAGAGACTGACTTTTACAATCGACGACTGACTTTTACAGTTTAAAGGGACCAACTCCAAACATAAAAAAGGTGTAATAGGTGTCTATTCAATAACAAACTTCAGAACATATGATTAGAGTTTGATTTCGATAAATAAGAAATTTTAAGTTTCAGGGCTGGTAACACATTATTGACAAATATCTGGATAAATTGCATTTGTCTTTTTATAGCGATCGAGCGCTCTTGGTACATACATGGGAAAATGCGCATTAAAGTGGTAAAATTAATCGTTTGAATGGAACGTTTGGGTCTTTCTTATCGAACGTCATTTGTTAAATAATGACACGCCCATTTCGTTAGAATTGAGAATGTTTTAAGACATCCCACTCTCTGAGACTAGCAGCGCGAGTTTTGCTGAAATGAGGATATTATGAAGTTTGGAGAAAGATCGAGTGCGAGACTCCCCGCTTCTGTAAAACTCACGTTCTGCAAGGAATATGTTCGTATATGTCATGTCTATTGACGTTATCACAAATCGCATACCGATCGAACACGTTTTTACCTGGTGTTTATGTCAACTCCCAATCTGATTGACTTTTGTATTTATGGAATACCTGTTCTAAGGTATTCGAATGAGTCATATGAGAAATTAACGACAATCGAGGGCTGTCACTCAGTGCAGACTGTGTTTCCCCGCCGACTCTCCCCTACAATAAACTGCATTCTTCTTTCTGAAGAAATACCAGTATAAAATAACTTTCAAAAGAAAGCTTTATTCAAACGCTTCAACCACTGTAGGACAGGCACATAGTATAGTTAATAAAAGTGTGTTGGGGGGGGGGGGGAGCAGCCAGAAAAAAAATTCCCGATTTCCTGAAAAAACTTTGACAAGCCAAAAAATTTCCAAACTCCAAAATCATATTTCGGGGGGGGGGGGGGTGTTCCAACTTCTTTCAAGATCAAATTTTCTTCATATATTGCCACATAACCCTGATTTTCACTATGCTGCAACCAAAAGTTGGGGGCACCTGCTTTTCTATGAACATTTTCTAAATTAAAAGGTTATGTTTGGAAAAAAGAGGAGGGGGGGAGACCCCTCTGCACCCCCCCCCCGATACTATGTGCCTGCAGAATACACCGCTTTAAACAACTCTTTTTTTCATGAGAAGTTTCTAGGTCTGTTAACTTGTCATTCGCCTTAAAGGAGTTAACAAAATTACATTTGAAAAACCATTTGAATTATTAAATAAATTGATATTGATTTATTTTATTGAAGTTACTAATAAATTTTACTGAATGAAAAATGTGAAAGAATACTGCATTACATGTGCTAGGATTGATTTATTCAGACCCCGAGAATTCTCAGAAGCTTCGGGAACTATCCTTAATAAATTCACTGTATGCCTTTTGGTTGGACCTAAGCAAATCCAAAATCGGCATGTTCTTGCCTTCCTGTTATCTGTCTGGTCTAGCTTTCGGGTGAACTCAATAAAAGCGCAATTTACACTAATCACTTATCTTCCTGAAGAGCGCATCTCCACAACTTCAGGCGTCCTGAGTCCACTCGTGGCCATGAGACCCTGATAAACTTCATTCGATACCAAGAGCAATGCAAGACAAAGAATAACAGCAGTTTTGAGGGTTAAAATCTGAAGTTGTTCGGCTTTCTTCGTTAAAGCCTCGAGTCTAAACGAAAGTTAGAGAAGTGCTGATGGAAAAGATGTGAGCTTTTGCGACATGGCCGAAACCTTTGATCTTCTTTCACTTTCAGTTTATTAGGAACCTTCAAGTCTTCTGTGATCTTTTTATATTGTTCTTATTTTTTATTTATGAGCACATACATGCATGTATGATATGGAACCCCCCCCCCCCCGACACACACTTATTGCCTTGGAACACTCTTGGGGAACCAAGCAAGAGACGTACAGTAGAATCATTACCAAAAATTTTCCGAAACTCTGGAGAGTTCCCGGGGTCAGTGATTCCGAATAAACAAATGCTAACATATGCATATTTAATGCACTATTCGTTCAGACTTTTCAAAAATTAAATTTTATTGAATTGACAAATGCTATTTTGTTAACAAAAGCGAATTCAAACATAGAAATTCATAAACAGACCAATAAAATTTTCATTAGCAGGTTGTTTTGAGCTTTACTGTCAGTGTATCATGCGTACCACGCACTCGCTGTAAAAACACGAACTCAAGTTATCCTGATACATGTATTTGTAAATTATAATGTGTTATCAGCCCTGAAGTTTAAAAGTTCTCATTGTTATTGAATAGACATCTATTACATGTTTTTAATGTTTGGAGTTGATCCCTTTAAATTGTAAAAGTCAGTCGCCAATTGTAAAAGTCGGTCTCTTCATAAAACTCCATTAAGAACTTGTATACTCTGAGTACTTGCACTCTCGATCAGAATCCTTGCCTAGTGTTTTATATATTCATATTTATTATGCACAAAAAAGCAATCTGTTAAGAATACATATATTCATATTTCCATTAGTAAGTTTGGAAAGAAATCAAACGATAAAAATACAGATCACATATATCAAGTCCAGCCCTGGTCCCTAAGACTTAACAGGAACAGCATAAACAGCATGATATTTGGATGAATACGTTTACTAAAACCCCAGTCGAATTTCCAAAGAACGATCAACGACCAATGGATTAATCAGTCATTAAGTAGTCCGTTGACCAGCCCTCGATCATCGTCCGACCATCCGCAGACATTTTGTTAAGTCGGTCGTCGGTCGGTCGACATTTAGATATTGGGTTTTCGTAAATCTCGGCCGACGATGAAAATCAAACTGCGGCTCAGCGCTCGATGATCGGGCGACGATTGACCGACCTATAAATATTTAAACATTTAAAGTCATCGGTGTTCCTAGGGAATAAAGTGACTGCTCCGCGTCGCCCCGGCGATACTAGTGTCGATCATCTTTTTCATCCGAAGATACGAGAAAAAGATGGTCACCGGATCATCGGCTTAAATGTTACCTAGTTATAACACACTATGACTTTAAAACAGAGAACTATCATAGGCTAGTATTTATTCTTAATTAGATGAAAAGTCTGCTCATACAAACGGTCATAATGCAAAATATTCGTATTATGAATGATATAACATCAAGCAATGATATAATGCTTCTATGTATTTTTTCACACAAACATTTTCATAAAGTAAACATTTTACAGGTCCATCTAATTGGTGTGAGGTACACGAGTGTTGGTCGGCTTGTGGGTCAGAACAGAGACAATCTCCAATTAACATTGACACCCATCAAGCTCAGAGAGAAGATCTTGCAAACATTCAGTTGTGGAACAAACATAAAAGAATTCCTGCAGATATATCTAATAATGGTAGGTAATAAACAGACAAGCCTGCTCATTTTCAATGTCCATTTTAAATAAATGGACGAAAAAATATTTGTAATTAAATCCACTCACCGGTCACGTTGGCTTACTTGTAGGGCATTTGCTACGTGATTGGGAGATCCGGGTTCGATTCTCGTTCCCTGCGTCAAACCTAAGACGTAAACATAGGTAGTGATTGTTCTTTCGCCAAGAACTCGGCATAAGAAGTGAAAGTTACGGGTCTTTAGGACGATACCATAAAAACCAAGGTCCCTTGACCGGTAGGCGTTGGCACGATAAAGAACCCTCAATGTTCAATGGCCCTGTGTACCCAGTATAGGACTACATTTTAAGCCGTTCTTTGGTATACAGTGACATCTTTATATGAATAAAAAATGTTAAAATGGGACATAAAACAACATACAATCAATTAATTAAATCCATTCAGAGTGCCAGAACATATTCTTTTACACATCAGTCATTGAATTTCTCTAGTCTTCTGGTTTTCATGTCTATAAAATAGAATCAAATATGGAGATAACGAACAGTAATCAAGTTCAGAAGTCCATAGCAAAACTACATTTAAGGGGCAGAGTAAACACGGACTTCTAAAACATCAGAGGTGGGATCAGGTGCCATGGAGGAGTAAGCATCCCATGCCGTGTGCTCCTTGTCATGATCGAGAAAACGGAAAAATCCATATACAATTCAGTGTGTAAATAATGACCTATAACAATTAGTTTGAAAAACGTCAGTCAGCATTCGACTAAATGATAGATTGTATTTGCTGACAAGGTCATTGTATCGACTTAAAAAGAACATGCGAAATGATGGCTTTAAACGAAACTGTTGATTTTCTTGTTTCATCAATTTGCTTGTCAATAGCTTTAGAAATTGTTCGTACGTAGAGCATACTTTTGCATATCGAATCAACTGGGAGAGATAAACCCAATATGCAGTTTATAATGGTATATTGCTACTTAAGTAAGGGAAGTTGATGATAGAAAAGTTGAAGTCATCATTGACCACAAGTCTGCACACATTAAGTTTTGCCAGTGGTCGGTTGATTAGAAGTTTACTTTCAGGTTACTCGTGTATTATATGATTTTACAGATTTTAGGCTCTTGCATTTTGATCGATTCCTGATTCGCTCTAAGGCGCATAATATTTTTGCTAAATCTACGCACTATTCAATGTTTTATTATGCATGTAAAATGAAAAAATTAGACACAAAAAGTATTTCAATGCTACCTTTATTTTTTCAAAAATGTGGCAAAATTGTTTAAATAAGATTTTTTTTTAATTTGAAGCTGTTTGAAATTTATAAATTATGAGGGATCCTGGAGTTATGTAAATCTTGTTTGATTTAATTAATGGCATATTTTCAGATTTTTTTTTCATTTTACTCTACTGATTTAAACATTGCAATTTAAAGATTGTGTCACTCAGATTAACACAACATGTCAGCTGTTGGAAGAAACATGACATTTATATTAAATTAACATGGCACGTTCCCTACATTGTCAATCAAAAGAAAAATTCAAGGAAACCAGGATTTTACATACAAAATATTTAATGGAGAATTCAGTTTACAAATATATTACTGAAACTCAATACATCAAAATCTTATTTATTTGTTCTATAAATTATCTCTTTCTAAAAATGATTTGAATTAATGAAAGTTTTGCGTGTTAAGTATCCTTTTAAAAATATATTTACATTGCTTGTGTGAGAAACATAACAATTTTTTAATGTTGGCGTATTCCTGTATTTAAGATTTTGATATTAAGTAAAAATAGTTGTCCAAAAAGAAAAAAAAAAGACTAGAAAGAAAAAAAGAAATTACGCTCCACTTTGGATAATATACATTTGTGGTATTTCTCAGCTTTATAAACATGCTGAGAACAAATAACTTCATATCTGTATGATGTTTTCCAAATGTCATAGGTCATTACGTGGCTTAATATCACACGGAGTATTTATTAAAATATCCACATGCAATAATACTACTTTCTTTAGTTTTAAATAATGTGCAACTCAGAACAACTATTTGCTTTATTAAATCAAATTTAATTTTAAAAATTAAACCAAAAAAAAAAAAAACCATGTATGTGTTGATCCAATCCTTTGTTTATTCCATATATAAACAACTACGTTATCGTCACATTGGTGAAGTTGATGTTTTATTTCAGCTGCATATATGCGGCACAGTTTTTTTTTCCTTTTTTAGCTCACCTGAGCTGAAAGCTCAAGTGAGCTTTTCTGATCACCCGTTGTCCGTCCGTCTGTCCATCTGTCCGTCCGTCTGTAAACTTTTCACATTTTCAACTTCTTCTCAAGAACCACTGGGCCAATTTAAACCAAACTTGGTACAAAGCATCCTTGGGGGAAGGGAAGTTTAAATTGTTAAAATGAAGGGCCAAATCCCCTTCAAAAGGGAGATAATCAATAACATACAAAAATAGGGTGGGGTCATTGAAAAATCTTCTCAAGAACCACTGGGCCAGAAAAGTTGAAACTTATGTGGAAGCATCTTTGAGTAGTGTAGATTCTAAATTGTTCAAATCATGACCCCCGGGGGTAGGGCGGGGTCACAATAGGGAATCCAAGTTTTACATTAAAATATGTAGTAAAAATCTTTAAAAATCTTCTTCTCAAGAACCAGTGGGCCAGAAAAGTTGAAACTTATGTGGAAGCATCCTTGAGTAGTGTAGATTCTAAATTGTTCAAATCATGACCCCCGGGGGTAGGGCGGGGTCACAATAGGGAATCCAAGTTTTACATTGAAATATGTAGTAAAAATCTTTAAAAAATCTTCTTCTCAAGAACCAGTGGGCCAGAAAGGCTGAAGCTTATGTGGAAACATCCTGGGGTTGTGTAGATTTTAAATTGTTCAAATCATGACCCCCGGGGGTAGGGCGGGGCCACAATAGGGAATCCAAGTTTTACATTGAAATATATAGTAAAAATCTTCTTCTCAAGAACCAGTGGGCCAGAAAGGCTGAAACTTATGTGGAAGGATACTAGGGTAGAGTAGATTCTAAATTGTTCAAATCATGACCCCAGGGGATAGGGCGGGGCCACAATAGGGAATCCAAGTTTTACATTGAAATATGTAGTAAAAAAATCTTCTTCTCAAGAACCAGTGGGCTAGAAAAGCTGAAACTTATGTGGAAGCATCCTGGGGTAGTGTAGATTTTAATTATTCAAATCATGACCCCTGGGGGAAGGGTGGGGCCACAATAAGTACTACAAGGGGGGAGAAATCAGGTGAAAAACAGCAAGGCCAAAGTTACTCAGGTGAGCGTTGTGGCCCATGGGTCTCTTGTTTCTTTTGCAAGGCTGGCTAACATTCTTCATCATAAACTCTGAGTGGTATTCGATAATTCTTTTTTCGTACCTTTTCTCACATTTTTGCAAGACTTGCGGAATATGTGGCACATGCCACAAAAATTCCGGTAGCACATATGACCTAGCCTATCGACGAGAACATTGGCTTGACTAGATAAGCTTGACTAGATAAACAGTCTTCGAAACAGTGTCTCAGTACCCAAATCATAAGGAGTATGCCAAACTTAAAATCATAAATATGAACATTTTTCACTTAAATTTGATGAAGTTTAGGTTGAATTTTAATCATACTAAATTAAGTGATTCCATTCCTTTTTCGACCTATATATCTCAAACTTTCTACAATAAAAAGCATCCTGTTTCTTATGCCTTTTCATCCATCAAGTAACAGTATTCAGAGAAACAAAAATATCCATCAGAAAGCAATCTTCTCATCAGTGATCACAATTTAGTTATTGAATCTCGAATTTTGAATGAGTCTTCTGGGCTTTCGTACAAGTATTAGATATAATAACAAGTTTGAAAATTTCACTGGGAAATGAAGTAGGTTGGTAGGTGATCAATCTTACAATTTTTTGATCACGTGACCAAACACTTCATTTCCCGTGAAGTTTTTAAACTTGTTATGTATTTAATGAACTTGATGATTATCATTTCATATATACAGGGCACTCACCCCACTTTGATGTTCACGTTGACAAAATCAGTTGGTTCAAAAATATTATCTTGACCAATGTCCCCTTCAAAGAAGACAAGCAGTTTATCTTCGCAGAGCTTCATATCCATGTAGGGATCGAGAGCGAGACAGACCGCAGTACCAAAAATCATGAATACTCAAAATCAAAAGTGAACGACCATGAAGGATCGGAACACAGCATCGATAACAAATTCTTTCCCATGGAGGTACAATCCTATGATTTGAATTATAACAAATTGGTACTATTTAGGAAAAAGGCTTTACAATTCTTTTTAAATACAATGGCTGAAATTTTTTCTCCTTCAGGGTCACATGGTTTTCTATGATAGGACATATAGTAACTTTTCTATGGCGAAACCAGTCCCCGACAGTCTTGTGGTAATAGGTGTGATGATAAAAGTAAGAAAAAAATCAAATCGTGCATGATTTACATTCATTTGAAACTTTTTAAAATATATATAAATGATTCAACGATGGCTTGCCAAGAGATTGTTTTAAAATCAACACTGAGTAGAAAGTGAAGAGTATATAAAACATATCATATACCAAAAAAGTCATCATCATGATGTTTTAAAATTTGATTTTTCCATTTTGCACAATTAAACTCATAATCTGTAATTTTGACAATTCGATGAAATTTTGAAAAATGGTTTTAAGTTATTAAAGAAAATAAATGGAAATATTTTGCAATTGTCAAAATCATCACAGGTTGTATATATATATATATATATATATATATATATATATATATATATATATATATATATATATATATATATATATATATATATATATATATATATACTGATTTTTTTTTCAAACCATAGCATGTGGTTAATGTATTCGTTTTTCCTTTACAAAGGTGAAAGATGATGATGATGATGATTATGAAGATGATGAGAACAATAAAGAAGAAGAGGAAACAGAAGAAGAATATGTTGATGAAGAGGAGGAGAGTCATCAGGCATTCGAATTGCTATATAAAGAAATTAAAGAGATTCTTTTTGAGTCGTAGAAATATGTTAAGAATTTTGAATTCAGACGTTGATTTCAAATTTTAAATCTCATGGAACTTGCTACTATTAGGCTGGTAACTTTTATAAAATCAAGTTAATTATTTTTAGTGCATGATAACAAATATTGGCAGAAAATCATGTCCTTTGCATTAATTAGTTTTTGACCCGTTTAGATGTAATGCAAGAAAAATCTTTTGTAGGATCACAGGTATACGTACAGCCGCGTTTGTTCAGTAAACAATGAATATGAAGATAATTACAGTAAAAAGTGTTACAATGGGGTGAGATGAAACCTTTTTAAAAAGTTGATCATGAATCATTTTTTTTAACCAATGTTACTGTTTGTTCAGTGTACGCATGTTAGATATTTAATTAAAGAAACAAATTTTCAAATACATGTACATTAGATGATTACATCAAAAAGTATAATAATGGCTTTTTGGTCAAGTATTTTATGATGCATGTTGTTAGAGTTGAAGAAAGATAGAACAAAGTTAGGAATATATATAAAAAGAACTGACACATTAAAACACTATCACGGTTTTTTAATCTTAAATGAAATTTAGAAAATTTCTCTATATTTTCCTTCTTTAATAGTTATTTTCATAAATCAAAACAGCACTCAAAGTGCAAGGTGAGATTTGCTAAAACCTTAAGTTATCTCATGGAGAGATACTACGAGGAAATTCGGGAGCATAAACCCAGTGCACCAGAGGATTTCCTAAAAGAGGACCCTGATTATCGTAAGTTGCCATCTTTTCAGTGTATCTTTAATGTACAGTATTCTTATCAAAGGAATTAGCATATCGCCAAATGGAAAGATGTTTAATATTCAGTAAATTATGCGGAACAATTCGGATAGCAGTACACAATATGCAAATTTACGTTCAGTGTTATAAAAAGCAATGTTAAGTAATAGAACCATTATCTATATAAAGAAGATGACATGTATCCACTGTTTAAAAGAAAATTGCTCATTTTAGTCAATTTAATAGATGTTAATGTGCCAGTTTACACAAACACAGGTGTAATTTTGAAACAGAAAGTTTACACTTTAAGATTTCTAAATTCTAAAATCTGCTAAACTAGCCTTAGTGTATTTTTTTTTTTTTTTTTTTTTTTATTTAATGAAAAAAAGCACAATATTTTAGCCTTCTATCAGTGTGGAGACACGCCAGATTTAGAATTCATCTATAGTAATTGCATGAAGAAAAACACTGACCATGATGAACATGTGCAGGTGGATTGCGGGATATCACCAACAGATGTTCTTCCATATGATCAGAGATTCTACACGTACGCCGGATCTTTGACTACGCCGCCTTGTTACGAAACTGTTCAATGGATTGTGTTTAAGTGTCCAATTAAAGTGTCAAAAAGGGTTTGTGTCGTTGTCACAATTCTTTTTTAAAATATTTTTTTATTCTTATCTAGAAAAAGAATTCAGAAATAAGAAGTACATTTTCAAACTATATGAATTGATTTGTAGGCATTTGAGAACTTAAAGTTGGTCCAAGATTCCCACAAAGATCCTCTTAAAAAGTTTGGTGTACGGAGACCACTTCAGGTATAATTTTTCTTGATCATGGTGGAAAAAAACGTTCTATCTCAAATTATCCGTTGACTATCAATTACCATCTAAATTCTTAATATACTGGGAAATCACTAATTCTCGAAGAGTCAAATCATCGAGAATACAGGAAAAAACCCATTGGTTAGTGGTGATTTGATTTCAAGGTTAAAAGGAAATATGATACAGTAGTTTTAAATTTTAACATGTGGAGGAAATGAATTTACGAGGTCTCTTCATGTAAAGAAAACAATGAAAATTAAAGTCAATGAAAACATAATAGTGATTTCATAATGTGATATATTGATTTAAAAATACGTTCAAAGAAATTTTTTCGAATTTTTTATCCATTTGTGTGCATTATAAAGTGAAGAATAAAATTAAACAATTAACGACTAAATGCACTCATAATCACTTTACAGCAAAAAAAATAATTTGAAATTGAACGTTTCTTTAAGTGAAAATATGCGTGTGGAACGTTTTATAATGGTGCATTAACTTTCAGAAATGTGTATATACGTTGTATATGTTTTTTTTTTAATTTATTTATTTTTTAATATCATTTTTGGATAAATTGTATCAAAAGGATCGCTAAAATTTCTTTCCTAGCACATGCATTATTCCGTAAATTTGATTTATTGTTGTAGTTTTGCACTACATCATAAATTCTTATCATTAATTATGTCTAATTATTGCTCATTACTGAAGATTCTATCGTCAATATTCTTTTTTTTTTCCAGAGAAATCATATAAATGTCATCAGAAACTTCTGAGATTTGTTTCATTCTGAAGCTTATATTTGATACACAATTATATCTGTATCTGGTATTATAAATAAAATGATAATGGAAAATAAAATGGACCCAATGACATTCTTTTTTTTTATTAGTTACAATGCTTTTACGCATGAAAAAGGCGATACTACATGTAGATGTGCAAAGGTTTGTAAAAAATAAATAAAGAACCAAAAATCTACAAAACTTTTACATATCAATTTATGCTACTTAGGATCATTTTGATATTAGGTAAACACAAGAAAAGGGGGCTGTGTTTTTTATTGGCATGGAATATTTCTGCTTATTGAAATTTCTTCTTTGTGTAATTAACTCACATGCAATAGGGTCCGCCAACAGCTTATCTCCCCCTCGCGCCGCTAGAGGCGCTGTTGTAATATGAGGTATTCGAGATAAACAACATGGCGTACGCTTCGTACACCGTACAGAAATTGAAAAAAGAATTGATGTTGCGCGGCGCTGTAACTACGGGAAGAAAAACAGATCTCATAGAAAGGTAAGAAAAACACTAATACTGTTAAAAATAAACGATTTTCATTGAAGTAATCGTAATATGATTAAAATAATTAGGGTTATCAGAGTCAAGTCACACGAGTGCTACATTGTCAGTGATTGTACTGACATTATGCCTACAAAAACTGTTAAACAAATTTCATATTACTGTGTAGGTTGGAAGCATACGAACGAAATTTTAACTTTAGCGGTCCCGTAATAGAGCTGCCAGCGGAAAGGAAGGTAGACTGGCCCACCACTGGGTATAAACAAATTACATCAGAGCATTATGACTTATTGCCACATATATCAGAAGCCCATATCGAAGGTACAGTAATATGGGGGAAAATCGCTTAAGTATGTTAAAAAATTTGGTGTATGCCACACATGAAATTTAACAGTTTTGAGGATATCAAATATAAATATGTCACTGTGATGGTGTAAAACTTGTATATATTTTCTTTTGGAATTTTTAGGATATTTTCAATACAGACAAGCAGTTGACAGGCAAATGATGGGCAATACAAAGGCGATTGTGAAAGGAAAATTGCTCTTGGAGTCAGAGAGAGTTGAAGCACTGAGTATTAACTGTCAACATGAGGACTTTTTTCTTACAGGATTTGTCAGAGCAGCAATGAAGAAAAAGGTAGTGTTTCAAAATAAATGAACAACAACTAATTAAAAACAGATTTAAAAAAAATCAATGTACATGTGTGTGTAGTATGAATGTAGAGTGAATCAAGATTGTCTGAGTAATGAGTATTATGTTGTTGACTGTATTTAACAGGTGTCTTACAATTATCGTGTAAGAATTCACAGAAAAACGGGTGAAATTAAAAATTCAGATTGTGAATGCCCTGCTGGGAAGGGCCCTAATGGAACTTGTAAACATGTAGCCGCTGTTGTTTTGCTCTTGGTGAAATTTCGGGAAACACGCATTATAGCCATTCCTAGGGGATGTACAGATAATCTCCAGACTTTTCATAAGCCAAAGAAGTCTTTCCAAGTTGAGCTGCCTGTGTTTAAAAATGTTTCCTATTCATGTTTTTCTTTTTAATTTGACTATTTAAATTTTGAATATTTGTTGTTGTTTATATACACAAGTGTCAAAAGTTGCAAACGACTTTTCAGTATATATTAAATTTTGATGATGATGATGCCCCATCTTCACTAGCTAAGGGTTTCTGGTCTGCTACTCAACTTACAAACCCTTGGCCTATGGTGATATCAAAAGTCGGGATTTTTTTTTTCTCGAGTTGTGATTGGAGTTTCTTGATATTGTTCAATCAATAAGCAAATGCTTTTGTACATATGACGATATCTCAATTTGGGATACATCTTGACTCAAAAGTCTCAGGAATGAAAAAAATGGGTAAACAATGATCCCTAACATGCCTAAGATAATGTGGCATTATATAAATGGCTATAGTGTCATCCATGCACATAATGTGATCAGGAATCTGTATTGGAGATACAGACTTGCACCCTTAAGAACAAATAAACATCGCTCGATAGCTACTTCTTAATTATTATTTTTTTTTTTAAAAAAACGCTCTTTAGTTGTGGGTACATGTATGTGGTAAGACTCGAAATCAGGTGACATAAACAATCCCAACTTTTGATAGCACCATTGGCTAAGGGTGGCTAGCTAAGATAATAATGCCCTGTAACATATAACAACTTTAATTCTGTGACCCGTGTCACAATATTTTTAAAATGTAAAAGTTGCATGATCTACAGACAGGTATACAAAACTACAGTTTGAGAAGTTGTTTTAGGTAGTTCTTCTCATGCATGCAAAATTTAGTTTTTATGTTCAGTCTTTGTTGAATATACACTAAAGATGAATACATATGATCCACAAATTTACAAGTCATGTACATGTATATTATAAGTAAACCATGAAATAAGAAAGCTTTAAATTAATGCAGATATTGATTACAAATACTGATATATTCAATATATTACTTAATTAAAAGTGATGGAAATGTGATTTCTTTGTACAGGAATACAATACTGAAATATATATTTGGCAAATTGTAATAGAAGTTAAATTACACATAAACTAATGTGTTTTTTTTTTTTTTTTTTGGTTAATGTCCAACTTATTTTAAACCTTTGAATTTTACAGGCTCCCCCATAAAAGCAGAAGACATGCCCTGTCGGTACAACCCAGATCTTAGTGACCCAAGACCTCAGAAATACAGAGGAATTGCTGGATACAACGATTATGTGAGCAACATTGTAACCAATTACTGTGCTTTAACGTCAGCAGATTTATCTTTCAAGTACATGAAACCCAAGGCATTTATCAACTTTGCAGTACTGGACCATGATTACTTGGACCTGCCATTCACTGAATATTGGATAGATGCAGCTCAGAATGTATGATATTAATGAAATATTTTGTTAATTGCAATCTTTTGTAAAAGTAATGATTTATATGTCCTTTGGAAAAGAAAAAAAAACATGATGTGTTTGTAATACACTGATGCCTCCATATGGCAGTTTCTGGGAATGGTGAAAGTTGAAGATACATGTATTGATAATTTAAAGTGCTACTGAACTATTCTTATAAGGTTACATTATAAATTCTTGAAATATAAGAACTGGTTTATAATGAATTTTGATATACTTGAAGTGTTTCTTTGGTATGAACAAATTTTAATTTTTCGTATCTAGGTTTCAGATAGGGACATTGCCCGCATCGAACACAGAACTAGGAAACAGAATCTGTCGAAAGTTTGGCACCAAGAGAGAGAATGGCGTTTGACAGCTTCCAGGTTTGGGGATATTTGCAAAGCTACTGATCGACGTAACAGACTGAAGCTGTGTTCTAGCATCTTTAAACCTCTTAAACTGAAAACACCAGCTGTCTTACATGGCCAACAGTATGAAGCTGTAGCAAGACAAACATTTCAAGAAAAAATGGGTTTCAAAGTAAAGACTTGTGGTCTTTTCATAGACTCGGAGAACAATTATTTGGCTGCTTCGCCCGATGGCATTATTGGAGAAAATGCTATTGTTGAAATTAAATGTCCGTATAAGGGTAGAGATCGTAAGATTGCTGCAGACAAGTTTTTCCCATTCTTGCTAGAGGATGATGATGGTGTATTGCATTTAAAACAGAATCATAATTATTATATGCAGGTGCAAGGGCAGCTTAATGTTTGTAAAAAAGAGAAGTGTTTCTTTGTTGTTTACACATTTGTAGATATTTTTGTGGAAGAAATCAATGTTGATAGAGACTACTTCTGTGGTTGCATGCTACCAAAGTTAGAGTTGTTTTATAAAAAACACTACAGAAAATTTCTTGCTGAAAAATTGTAAATTGATGTCATAAATCTGCAGTTTAAGCTTTTTCTGTGAAGACTTGTACATAAATTGTTCATTTCTATATGGATAATATGATGATATTTGCAGGTTTTCTTTTTAGAAAAGCCTTTTACATCTGTTAAGATCAGCACAGTATTTTGATTGTTTATCTAAACTTAACATGGTCATTATAGTGCACTGTTGTAATGGATAACATTTTTTTACCATTGAAACTATGGTTCTATATTACAAAATGTAGATTTTCAGTAGTCATCCTGGAATTTAGAATAATTCAAGAGAAATGTTTATGAAGTTATTAATGGTTTGTGAAGAGGTGAAGAGGTGTATAGAGATAATTATAAAGATGTATCCACTTGCTGCTTTAAGACAAAATTATGTAAGAAACAACAGTTAATTGAGTACAATGTGAAAATGTTAGATTGAATAATGCAAGTGTAACTTAAATCATTGTTTTTATTCTACAACATGTATTAAATAATATTCATTTGAATGGTAGTACATTATTATGAATATTTGTCAACGATGCAAGGTCTAAAATTCAGTATTGAAAAACAAATAAAAATGATTCTAGAGCCTAAAATGGCTTTGCCCTGTGGTAGCTCTTTCTTGAGAATTTTGAAAGTCTTGGCCAGTCCAATGATTCTTTCAACATGAATTCGCTTTGATGCGATTCTTCGGTCTTTAACAACATCTTGTGCCTCAAGTTGGCTTTTTCCTTTCAACATTGTTGGAGTGTTGACCTGAATGTTACGAGGGGCAAACAAATCCTGGACCATGATACCCCTGTCAGCCATTATACTGTCATGGTCTTGGAATTTGTCAAGGTCTCTAAGTAAGTCAGAACGTTCAATAATTTGTCTGTCACTTGTAGCACCACAGTATGCATCGGAAATATAACTGACAGTTCCATGTGGTGTACAACCAATCATCACCTTTAGTGTATTTTTATTCTTGTAATTCGAAAATGTAGCACTCTGGGCATTTACATTCTGGGGCTTATTTATTGGTACCTCAGTGGCATCAATTATCACTCTAGTTTTGCAGAAATTTGCAAAGAAGTCATCAGGCATATATTCATCAATTACAGATCTCGAGGGCCAAATGTTAATCTCTTTAAGTTGGAAGTACATAAAATTGATCCATGTAACAATAATATTTGAAACAGTACTTTCACTGACTTGAAACAAATAACTCAACTCAATGTCTTCTTTAGCTTGTCTTAGTTTTATCATAACTAAAAAGAACTGGTCTTGAGGGGAAAGTAAGTTGCTTTTTAGATTCAAATCATGTGCTGCAGGACCAAGTACTTGAAAAAACATCATGAAATGGTCATAATTTTCAAAACCAGTGTAATATTTCACCATTTTATCATTACTTTGCAATTTTTCAATGGAAAACCTGTTGCTTTTTCCAATATCACATTGGATTGACTGATCATGCAGCTTCTTTTCATCACTTTCATAACATTCACAATCAACATTAACTTCTTGTACAGACTCCACCACCACTTCATTCACAACACATTCACTACTAGACCCATTTTCACTATGATCTCTAATACATTCACTACTAGACACATTTTCACTATGATCTCTATCACACTTGACTCTTTTACTGTATCTTTGTTCTCTTGCGCTGGATGACTCATTTTTACATGCAAAGGAAAAGACAGAAGGAACAGCCTCTGGTTTTAGTCTCTTTCTCTCCCCTTAAAATAAATCAAACTCTATTGTAACTTACTTTCACTTTCATGTGTTTTCTCTTTATTTCGAAAAATAAGGAAACATTTGGGTGTGATTATAATTAAATACACGCTAATTAAATAATTGATAATTCGAGTATGATGAATCGCCAGAGTATGAAAACAGTAGGGTAACGTTAGCCGTGTTAACTTCGCATCGCATGTATACAGTAGATTTAATTCACGTTACGATGATTTTGAGCTAAGAACCAATTATTTAAAAACGTAGTTAATTAGATCAACAACTAGTTTACCATAACGAACTAACCAAGTAGTGTTGATTGAATGTAATCATCGGGTGTGAAGTGATCTCCACACACCCGGTCGTGAGCAGCCGGCTCCCATAACTTTCTTGATTTTACATCCAATCTTCGAATCGCGACTCGCCATTTCAATTTTAGATCGGGATTCGAAGGGAACAGATGTCCACCTTTCTTACTTTTACACGTAGGTACACAACAATACACTGGCATATCGACGATTTATCCTTAACGCGGTTTCTAACTATTATAAAGTAGACAAATATGGCGACGTATCTATACCTCATAGTACACGAGCGCCACCTGGGGGAGATAACTCTTCTTGGCGGACCTTATTCGAACTTACCAAAGCTATCACTATCCCCCCCCCCCCCCCTTGATGGCGATCCATAATAAGGAGTGGTGAAGATTATAGCGGATAGCAAGTTAATGATAAAGTTATAGAACAGTTTCCCACTACTAGTCGTATCAATTTTGGATATATTTATATTTAACTCAACTATCTCGTAAATGAATGATATTTACAAAAGTGAATGCTGTATTATGACAATTTAAAATTCTGTTTCAGCGGTAAATCAAAAAATAACAGTAGATGTTGAAGAGATAACAAAAGCGTAAAGAAAGCTTAAACCATATGACTTCAACTATAAAGAATTCTAATAGACTAAAATATGTATTTATAAATTAACCTGTATCATATATTACCAACTGTTACCCCCACCCCCACCCCCTCCTCACCGTCACGGTAGCTCAGTAGAGCGCTCGCTCCGTGATCGGAAGGTCGTGTGTTCGAATCACGGCCGCGATTTACCTGAGTCGATAAAAAAATAGGTAGCAACTGTTCCTTCGCCAAGCGCTCGGCACTTTGAAGTGAAAGTTGCGGGTCCTTCGGATGAGACCTTAAAAACCGAGGCCCCGTGTCACGGTAGGCGTTGGCATGAAAAAGAACCCTCACTGCTCAATGGCCCTGAGTGTCGAGTAAAGGTCAAAATTTGAAGCCCTTCACCGATATATGGTTACCTCTTTATATGAGTGAATAATTCTCGAACGGGACGTAAAAGCATATACAATCAATCCCCACTCCCTCGAATTTTGTTGACCTGTGAGTCACTTTATTGCAGTTTAGTGGCCTGAGGATTGAACTTATATCGGTATTTATTCCTTTGGAATCTGTGGGTACATTTGGACACATGCATTTTCTTTTCTACGAACTTAAAAACTTCAATGACGTCACCAATTTTTATTAGTCTGCTTATATTTTAACGTTTCAATTAATCAGCACTATTTGGGTATATGAAGACCCAACTGTCCACCAGTTGGATATTGAAATATCCAACTCACCATCGGTTTGTTATTCAAATATTCAACTGTGCATGAAATAAAAATTATAAACATTGAATAAAAGAGACGACTTGTAAAAAAATGTATTTCCAGTGCATATTAAAAATAATTACATGTGATTACTCGTATTTTGTCGTGCTATTAGAATTTATTTTTGTGAAAAACTTATTTCCAATGCATACAAAAAATAATTCGCAATTTTTCACAATATTAGAATTGTGCTAAAAATACACTTTCAATTTTTAATCTGTTTAAGCACCATTAGAAATCTTGTCCAAATAGAACACATTTCCAAGAAATCATTATCTGATTTGTCATGAAAATGTGTTCATAGAAATACTTTCTTCCCTCCTTTGAGCTTCTTGAACAAGAGAAGTTCAAGAGATCGAATTCCAATCCGGTTTAAAATGGCACGATAATAAAAATATGAACTAGTTTACGCCCTAACCCTAGGAACATAGATAACAGTGGAAAGCTCCTCTAGTAGTATCATCATTTCTGTCAAATGTCTGATGTTGATAATTTAGTGAAAAGTTCTGGTTGATATTAAAGACATGGTTAAGTCTTACTGTATAAACTCGATCGGATACCCAGAGTGTCTTTATCGAATCTAGACTAGATTTAAAATGAATCTTACTGTTTTGTTTTGAAGAACTTATAACTTTTTCAATTATTTAGACAACGTTCATACCCTGTAGAGTAGCAATAATCAAAGTAACACCGAATAAGTGTAGAAACTAATGTTAAAATTGAACTTTTTCAACCAATTTCCATTTCTATAAAGAGACTTAAGTCTGGAGCTGACCTTAGCTACAATCTAATCCACTATGGGATTAATTTTAAAAATTTGTCAATTGTTATTCCTAGATATTTAACGTATTCGCTAGATTTGATAAAATGAGTGTGACAGTTGACCTAAATTGACCTTCATTGCTTATAGCTTGCGTCTAGGGCCGAATATAAAACAAGACGACTATTTTTCTAAGATGGGGGATAACTTGTATTCTGTGAGCCATTCAGAGTTTTCCAAATTTATCTGATATCACATTTAGGTCTCTATTTGAGTACAGGATGGCACTGTCATCTTACAGTCTGTGTCTGTACTAATTGACATATCATTTATTTTGTTATCTTCACAGTCATTCTGTACCTTCTTGATCGCTAAAATTTTACTTAATATGATATAACTATTACTGAACATTTCTCAGGCATTTAATCAGTTTTTTTTTTCTTTATATGTCCACAACTTCAAGGTAACACAAAGCAAAAATTTTCTAATAATGTTACTGATATTACAGAATTTTAAAAAAATGCTTCTTGTTATACATGTACCTCAACTACAAAATAAAGTTTTCTCCAAACTTATCAACAGAACATGCATATTTATTAACAAGTTTCTATGCAATTATGATCAATATTTGGGAGAAAAAATAATACATGAAGAAATGCCACTCTTGCTAACGGGTTCACATCCTAGCTAATTGTAAATATATATTACATGCATGACTAGGATACATTGTTAATGTCTATGACACTCAAATCCGTACACAACTCTAAAATTAACTTTAGCAAGCATGTGAAGTGCACATAGAATTCTATAAAAGAAAACATTTTAACTGAAAATTGTAACATATTGTAACCATGACGGCCTTCGTTTTATTAGTTGTTGTCGGTGGGTTTTTGCCGACTGTGCTCGGTGTAGGGTACCATGGTAAAAGACCCCCTACTCAAGGCGTATGTTATTATGACAACATCTATGCTGCTCATTTCAGCTACAGGAGAGGGATTTGTGAAGGTAGGAAAGTGAATTAAAAATAACATGAACCAAGAGAAAGAAATGTCCCTTATTTTGTCTTCTTTGATTTCTTTGATGCATTTTAAACTTTTTATCAAGGACTGCATTTCAAGAAAGCATAACAAAAAAATTACATAATTGAATGACAAAATGAAAACAAAAAATGAATTGCTTACTTAAGAACTTTTTTAGGCTTAATAGATGTTAGAAAAGACTACTTAAAACAACTCAATCAATATTATTAGATAATTGATATATTATTTCTGTTTTACTTGCAATTAGGCCCGTGGGATTGGTGCAGAATTCACAAATGTTGGACAACATGTGGATCAGACAGAAGACAATCCCCAATCAACATAGACCCATATAGGGCAAAATGGAGATCCTATGGACACCTAGAGCTGATAAATTTCAACAGAAGAGTTCCAGCACATATATATAACAATGGTATATTCTTTAAAGGGTGACATTTAAATGAAATGTAATTTTTTCAAATTATTTTTTAAAGATTTATTAAAGGTCAAAGTATTGTCGAAGTAAGAAAACAATTCTAAGAGGTTTTTATTTTTACCTTTAGATACATGTTTAACTTATAACTTATATTTTCCATCAAGTCGTCTGTCCTAATATATACATGTATTACAATCGATAACAGAAGAAATGACTGTAAAATCACTAACTTTAGTGAGGGGTTAATTTTCGTTTTCTTGGTATGGAGAGACCAGTGAATTCATGTCCTCCTCGAAATATATCACAAGGAAACGCTTTTTCAGCAACAAAATTCAATCCTCATACGATTTCTTCAAACCACGAAAATTTGACTCCAAGAAATATATGATTTTTAAGTATATATGAATGGTGCTCGCTAGAACAATTATTTTTGAGTAACATTATCCTAGCGTTCATTCAACAAACATAATAGCCACATGTATATCAAATTATTATCACTACAATTTATCATAGCGCTCAGTCAAGCAACAAATAGCGATATAGTAATTTTATTCCGATGTGGAAACTTAAAACTCCAAGGAACTCTTATAAAACTTATACAAAAATCAATAGCATCAAACCGTTCGACGTTTACCAATCCCCGCGATAAATTAAAGACAAGATTCTCTCTGACATCGTTGACAACTGCTTCTTCAATACAAATTGAACTCGTAAATTTGCTTACCTTGTCACTGGTTATCTGCAGACTTATTTTGTTAAAAACATTCTGATTGTACACACAAGTACTCTGAGGTTGATAATAAAAAGATTCTAGAGTTTCTCGTTGACAATATTTATGTGGTTTTCGGAAACCAGGTATTCTGTTGGAAATGCCATGGGTTTTAATCGTGTCCAGTTATTAGCAGATCTGTCTTTGTATTCATATGAAGTAGAACTTATTCAAAAAATTTCTATGTGGAAAGAAGTCTCTTGCTGTGAGTTAGCAGAAAGTTATAATTCATTTCAATTACCAGACAGTATGAGCTTAGTTTGCTTTTGTGTTTTTGAAAATATATATCTGAACAAATGCATCTCCTTCAAGGAGCGCAATATGTTGTCAAAGATTCTGTTCATCCTATGTCATTATATATTATTCATTGCAGGACACTCTCCGCACTTTGAAGTTAAGGTAGACTACTTCAAGAGGGGCAATAACATAATTTTGAAAAATGTTCCTGGAAGGCCGAGATATAGAGAATATATCTTTGCTCAGCTTGAGGTGCATATCGGCCATGAGGATGGCAGAGGGTCAGAACACTCAATTAACCACAGATTCTACCCAATGGAGGTAAGAAAAATCCATTTGAATTTCATAGAAGGTTGTATTTTTCATAATGTTAGTCAGCAGATTTGCTTTGCGTAGACCTATCTTTACAGATCAAGTGCACATTATGAAATGGATAATAAAATTATTCAGCACATTCACTTCATTTAGCATTGTACTTGTACAATGTACGTGCATTTTTTGCTTTTTTCAGGCCCAACTAGTATTTTACGACAGTAGATATTCAGATTTATCCCACGCAATCTCACATCCCGACAGTTTGGTAGTCATGGCCGTTATGCTCGAGGTATTCAATGTTTTATATGGGTACTCACTTTTTAGCTCTACTGGTCGAAAACCAGAAAAGTTTCTGCGTTGGTAAGGTGTCCGTCTATTTTATATCTGCTTGTCAGTAAACTTTCTGTCTAATGCGACCTTATGTCTGTCTGCAATATATTTTAGAATGGGTGAAAGGATTTTCATTCGGATAAAGATATACAAATACAAGATTTTTTTCTGCCTTCAATGCTATCCCAATAATAACTATAATACTTTAGGGGAAATGTTCCTATCGAGTTTAATTGTAATGTAGGTAAGAAACCAAAACAAGCAGAAGTCTTTGATGATGCAGTAGCTATGTTGATTTGAAGAAAAGAAACACTTTACATGTAACTTTAAACAGTTTTTCATGTTTGCATTTACAGAATCGTATTTTCTGACATTTTCGAAACTTATACCACCTAAAACTTAAAACTTAAACAAACATCTAAGGAGTAGCATTTACAAAATATTCAATTATAGAAGAAACAGCTGGTTAATTCTATTTGTATAACAGTTTTGTTTAAAAACAGGCCAAACCTGTAGGTATAATAGTATTTTAAAGATTTTATTTTTAAGTTACCATTGCAACAATGTTCTTTAAAATTAAACATCGATATTTGTTGTATTGATTACCTTGATGTAGTGAACCGAAGTTCCATGTTTTATTGAAGTCAGTACATAGTAGGAGTTACAATTTGAAAAAAAATTCCTAGAAATATCCATTTTTATTTACTAATACACGGTACTTGATTAGTTAGTTACCTTCACATTCTATTTAAATCAGTAGAGCTATTATAATCCATTCAAATACTTTTGATTTGAATCTGTGGCAACCGAATACATTAACCAAGCACCAATGAGGTATGTTTATGTTGACTGTGTTGATTCAATGATATATTTCACTGGCAACTACTATATGTTCTTTGATTCTGTTATCAAATTATATATTGATACCCTTAATCTATTCTACCAGGTAGACAGAGGGTATTATAAACCTTTAAATGACGATGATGATGATGACGATGATGATGACGACGATGACGACGATGACCGTGGTAAATGGAACAAATGAAAACTGCATTCTCATATAAAATACTGTAGAAGCACAACTTTTCGTGGGGATGAAATTTCGTTGATTTGCCATCAAAAAAGTTTTCGTGGGCATTAAATTTCTTTGTTTCGAAAGTAACCCTATTCAGATTATAGTCAAGAAAAAATTCGTGGGGGATTTAATTTTGCAGAAAATTGTTAACAACGAAATAAACGAAATAAAATCCCAAAGAATATTTCTGCTTTTACAGTACAAACTATACATTTATCTCACTTAGTCATGTTATTTCTCACAGGGGAAACATGCTTAATTAATGGGTTTTTCATTGTCCAAAGATAATTTAAGTGTCACTGATCTATGTATTCCATGATTGTTTAAGGAAGGGTATATAGTTTCTCAGTAGATTGTTTTGGACGTAGAGCCAAGTAAATCTCAAAAGTTTAATGCATTTTTTACAATGAATCTAGCTAGAAAAATGACATAAACATGGATTTTTTGTGTTGTCGAAATCGGTTTGTTTTACTACAGAATTCCATAGCTGGTCAAAATATGTACAGTGATATTGAAAAGATGAATTTACGATGCCAGACCCATTGGATCGTATTTTAAATACAACTATATTTGTAGAGTTCTCTTTGTAGAGTTCAACTGAATTTAATCAACCCAAATGATATTTATATTTTTTTGTTGATTCTTGTAGGGAGAAAAAGAAGAATAAAAGATGGCTACCTCGGATGGAGGTACTACAAAGGGGTATGTTTCACTAAGTTTACAAAATATAAAATACATATACACGGCTCATTGATACTTGTGGACAGGACATCCCTTACAATATAAGAAGAGTTTAAGAGCATTTAACAGATGGGTTTTTCAAGAATTGATAAAAATATAAAATTGTCCTTAAATGATTTGTGTAAGCAATTCCCAACAGTTACAGTCCCTCGGTATGTTTTGCAGTGGTCAAACAAAACCTAGTATCTATCTATTTAAGGATAACTTCTGTTGAAAGTAGTAATAACAACAAAACTAGTAACAATACATTGTTTGCTCAGTGTTTTCCAAATATCCGTCGCAAGGCCTATATAAATATGTTATCCTGATTAATGAAAATCACCTACATGTGTCATCATAGCAATCCAAATGAGAATCAAATTGCCAGTCATTAATTTTTACATACCCCTCCCTTGTTAATGACATAAAAAGAAAACTATTCAAATAAATACTTATTACAATGAGAGTACCAAGTTCTTACAATTTTATTTTATTTTATAGCAAGGAAAGTGCAGAGTTCAGTATGCACACACTTTAAGTTATCTTATGGAGAAATACTTTCGAAAGATTAGGAGGCACTGGCCTGTGGTACACAAGCATTATTCTGACTACCGACCGAAAGGTAAGAGTTCCTTTTGGATTTTGGTAATTTTGTGATTCTAGAAAATAAGAACATTAAACAATATTGAAAGCAAGACTTTCAATAAAAGTATAAGAATTAAAGGACGTTTCTATGTCAGTTTCAGCTTTTAAGTGATTTATTTAGTCCAAAGTGTATGTATGCTTTTTTATTTATTTAGATTTTCGATGTGGCAGAAAACCAAGTTATGACTTCATTGATCGCCATTGTTTCAAAAGAAAGACATACTATGATGACTACGTTCATGTGAATTATGGAATTTCCCCAGCAGATGTCCTTCCATATGATCAAAGATTCTACACGTACGCCGGATCTTTGACTTCGCCACCTTGCTACGAAACTGTTCAATGGATTGTCTTTAAGTGCCCAGTTAGAGTCTCAAGACGGGTCAGTAGAACTTGACATAATTATTACTGTCGTGTTATGTCTTTTTCTACTTTTTTGAGTTATATAATCAAAATTAAGAATGATCGCAAAAAGAACAACATTGAGTAGATGTGAATTTCTGACCTCTTTCGGTGGCTTATGTTCAAATAATCAATTTAATTAATCCTGTACTCATTTTAAAAGAAACATTACTTTCTAGGCTTTCCAAAACCTCCAGGAAGTAGAAGATTCACAGAGAGAACCTCTCAGAAAGCTGGGTGTTCGGAGACCAATCCAGGTTTTTTTTTCTTCCCTATTTCTTCTATTATTGTGTATCGCTCTTCTCGTAAATGGATTATATTCACATACATCTGCAAGTATGCACAAATGTAATTTACAAAAAAAAATCAAAAAGAGTCTTTCAGCTAATGTTGTTGAACATGATTTAATGATCACATTTTTTTCTTTACAGAGAAACAGAGGATACATTCACGTATATAGAAATTTTTGAAGAATTCAATTCCATCTTTACAAAAGCTGAAACCTGGAATTTTCCCCAAGTGTATTTTTTTTAATCAAATGCTTTGGTTTTGATGTGATTTTACCCTTTTTGTATTTTAAAAGTAGAAGTTTATAAATGTTAATTTTTAACGTGTATAAAATGTTCTTAAATAAATAATCCAAAACTTTTCTTTGATTTCCTCTTCTACTGTATGTGTGGGGGGGGGGGGGGGGAGGGGGGCATGCCTACCAACTCTGAATCTGAGGGAATATTTGGATAATATACATTCCCGAAGAGCTGATCACCCCTTTGATGGGTAGATTGAGCCAAATGTATTAAATGAAGACGCTGGCGCCTGACTCGCTGCATCTGTCGAAGGGTAGGCGCTTATGAATTAAAAGAAAGCATGAGACGAGAGGTTAATAAAGTGAAACCACTCTTAAAAAGAAAAAAAATATATGCCATAGAGCAAAGGTTGCAAGTAAAGCATTTGTTTAAAGAGAGTAATCTAGAGGAATTGCAATTGATGGTGAGGTACTAGGACAAACTAATCCTGAATAAGGGTGAAATAAACTTGTGCTTCATACAACAATAAGAACTCTGACTGTTCCAGGAACACAGTACTGGTTACATGTATAAGATACAGTATCTTTACAGCTCTGCAGTCTTGAAATTATTTTTGATCGTTTTTTCTCATATCGAGGACTTTGAAAATTCTGGGGAAAAAACTCATTTTTAATTATTCAGCAATATTATACACTATGAAATTGTTGCTTCTTTTTTATGTTGTTTTCTTTGCCCTAGGCCTCATCATTTAAATATATTGTATCAAAGAATGCACAAATTCAAAGTAATAAAATGATAATATATGTAATCATGGCAGGTTGAAGTGCATCGAGCCGAACACTGAAAAACAAAGTTGTACTTGATATTTATAAACCAAGTAAACGGAGCAGGTCAAATAGCTACTTTATTAAAGTATTTTACGGCAGTGCATATTTACATGTACTTTTGTGGCATAAACCTGTATTAAAAGGGATATTTTAAGTGAAAGGAGTGCTAGGATAATTGACCAACACCTCATTTCAACAAAGTTTTTACGTTCTTAACTTTTAAAAACTGCACAAAAGTTTAAATAACTAACTTTTAAAAGAAGTTAAAGATTGCACAAATTCAAAGTAACAAAATGACAATACTGGTATGTAATTATGGCAGGTTGTTGTACATGCACTCGTACATCGGACCGAGCACTGAAAAACAAAGTTTGATTTTGATATCTGTGGACCAAGAAAACATCAAATTTAGTTTCACCAAAATTTTAATTTCTATTTTTTTTTTATTATGTTACGATATCGGCATGATATCTTCTTAACGGGAATTTCAACTTGTAAACTGTTTTAATTTTAGTACTTCAAAATATTTATTAGGAAAAAAATATTCAGGGTGGAAATAAGCAATGCCCATCGATTTTCGCCTGCACCAGAGTTGTTTCCCTTGTAGTAGTATACATGTAGATGTGTGTACAGCGTCTGGCTCTCGCGAAAAATATGCAACATTAGTTTTCCTGCACTGCTTCAAATTGATATTGAAACGTTCTGAGAATGGTTTGTTAAATATTAACCGTTTAACGGAAATTAATGATTTTGATGTCATTGTACTCTGTAGAGGAAGAAAACTTGAAACTTGAAACTTTTATTTTCACTAAAGCCCCCACATGGGGTATGTTAGTGCAATAAGAGTTTAACAATTGAACAAATCAACATGTGAACAGTTAAAACATAATGAACCACAAAAAGATCTTTGATATGGACAGTACTGACGGTTGTATAAAAAATCGTTTAATGTTTACATATAGTTTTCGATAGACACGATTTTAGCAAAAGTTATTTCCCTTTGGTCGCTATATTAGAGGTCTACAAGCCCGAATTCCTTCACTATTCAACCAATTTAAACTTGCCACACTGGGCAATTGGGTGAAGAAAACACAATTTTTCTTACGAATTTATGTGAATACAAGCTTCCTTTAATGCGTAATTTTAGTATTTTAAAGATTTTTGCCCTTATAGTTTCAAAATTGGTTGCTCAAGAAGAAAATTCGCTCGTTGGACCTCCAATATGACGGCTAACGGGAAACAACTCTTGCTAAATTCAAGCCTATCGAAAAATATCTATTACTCCGAAACAAATTTGATGGTTTTATAATAATTTCCATGATTAATTTTACTCAAGAGTTGCAACCTCACATCATTCTATTGTTTTCAGTGTTCAAAAATTCTACCTGTAGGAATGTAATAATAACACAAAACAGTCCAATAATATATAGAGGATGTTAAATGTTTTGTTGTTGGATATGGAATTTATTTAACGAGTGGGACAGCAATTTTTTTTTATATTTTCACGAGTGCGAAGCACGAGTGAAAATATCAAAAAATCCTGTTTCACGAGTGAAACAAAATCCATATCCAACTACAAAACATTGAATTTTCTGTTTATTACATTTCTTTGATTTTTCTTACGAGTGCGAAGGAAGCACGAGTGAAAATATAAAAAAAAATCCTGTCTCACGAGTGAAATAAATTCTATATTCATCTACAAAACATTGAATTTTCTGTTTATTACATTTTCTTTGATTTTCCCTTTGCCTCTGTCTTTTCTTAACCCAGTGTCATAGATAGGCTGTGACGTCATAGTTGAGCGGTTGAGACGTCATAGCTTAGCAGTTGTGAGATTGAAAACATTACCTAGCATGGATTTTAGCAACATATTTGGGAAGAAAATTGCAGTTCTAGCTCTATCAAGATGTTTAGTTACTATCTCTATCTTATGACAGGTCAGAAATTATTTTTTACTTACTTTGATATCCTTTCACACTGTGAGAGAATATCATTTTGGTATCCTTTCACACTGTGAGAGAATATCACTTTTATTCAATAAATAAATCACAGTATTTCACTGTTGAAAATGTAATAAATCAAAGTATTTCATTGTTGAAAATGTAATAAATGATCATACTGTGCTGATTTTTCTTTTATTGAAATATTGGAATAATCCAGATGGATTTTTAGCAAAATAAAAAATAACATTTTTTAAGAAAATAAGAAACGGCGGCTTTGATAAAGTAAAACTCCTTGTAAAGGAAGGGGGAATAATTCCTTCATTAGAGTGTTTCACAGGTGTTATTGTTCCTGAAAATATTTAGGATCTGAATCCTTGTTGTACATTAGAATACTGAAGCGGGAATATCAGTCCAAGATAATGATTTACGGCTCAGCAAACTAAGAGGAGTATACCTGCTACATCCAACCTGTACAAATTGAATCTTTAAATATTTTCTCTATAATTATATTAATTCTAAAGGAACACACACACAAATAAAAAAGGTGAAAATAACGAACAGTGATCGATCTAAAAAAAAAAAAAAAAAATACACAAACAATACAAAACTGTGAACAGGGCATAAAAGACGGACCCCCGGAAAATCCAGAGGTGGGATCAGGTGTTTAACTGATTTTTATCTTCTGCATAAGTTTTGTTGGGTTTTTTTCTGAAATACATTTTTATTTTATTTACTAATTTGCTCTTTGGTAACTTACACCGGTGCGTTCTATTGTATATCAATTAAACTTCAGCAGCTATCACCATACTAGCAATTATCATTTATATACAACTCCAATTAATTCACCGCAGTGAAAAGTTCATGTGCATGCTTTTCCTGGCATTCGTTTATTTCTATCTTTTCTTGCCACTGTATCTTTAGTTTTATTTTTAATTTTTTGCTACTTATTTATGGTCTTTGTCACAATTTTTGGGCTATATTTTACAAACAAAACGTGGAATGATGTATAGTGTACATATTCACAATCTGTCTTAGTTGTCTTTGTGGGTCAACACTTTACAAACAAAGCAAGGGTCTAGGGTGACATAGAAAACTGAACACCGTGGTGGTCAACGTTGGCCCTAGTGGCCATAGATTTATCAACTTATCTCTACACTACATACAGAAACTTCTGCATTAATTTCAATTTACTGGCACCGCCCCTTTGTTTCTAAAATGGAAATTAACTAACCCTTGCTATTTTCGCTATTGTTCTAAATCTTTCCAAAGGAAATGGCACGGCTCTATACTTAAACAGAATTGATATCAATTTTTAAAGAATGAACTGTGGGTCTGCTAGAGGTTGTAATTATGTTTTATGTTATACCAAAAGTGAAAAAGAAGAGTTGGATTATCGTTATATCTATTTTAGATCATGGTAAAATATAAAGTAAGTTTGTACATGTCATCACATGCTTAAGACTTTTGTAAGTTAGAACTTTCTCCTTTTTTATGGTAAACAATGCAATATTGAAGACCAATCGCCGTTTAGGATTACAGTAAAAAATCTTACACATGTATATTTCCTGGACATTCAACACTAAGGGTCTAACCTTTGGATGAGAAAATTGTTGTGTCATTTGATGTCCTTTCACATTCATTGAATGTCACTAGGCTGTCTCCTTTATTTCCTTTGAATAAATAATTGAGGTCAGCTATGCAATTAGAATTCCCCAAGTTTTGAACCCATGTGTTGCCTTATGACCAGCAGGTTACTAGTTCACTTTACTTCTTTAATCCGTGGGATCCAAAGATTTTACAATTTATACATGTACATACTTCATTATACAAGTATTACATAATATTTTTTGACATTTTGAACGTTATTAGTTTGCCAAGATCATAATTTACCCAAATAACATTTCTTTTGTATTTATTTACTAGTCTAAAAAATAATTCTTTCTGCTTTTAAGATACTTAGTCTTCAGGAGTAGTAATGTGTTTAGTATACTTGTACCTTAAATTACAAAAAAACTGTACAGAAACGAAAAAAATGAAATCTGTTTTTAATATCATCTAAATGCATTAATAACATTACCTACTTCTCTTATTTAGTTTTCACACATGTACATTCCGATCATTATTTGACGATTTAAAACGTGACGTAATTGCTTTTTTACGCATATTTTACGTGTATATAATTGATTTCCGCATTAACATAATTGAAAATAATAACAATTCATTTATTAAATAATTGTCCTCTTCATTAGAATTATTGCCATTCATTTGCTGATATCTTTTAATCATCTGAAGAGAGCGATAATTCAATATTTTTTGCGCACATTGAGTCAGCAAATTGATTATTGCTATTGAATTGATGCGTGTAATTATTCAGAATTGAAGATATCATTATTTGAAGAGACCTTGAATTGAATTGATGCAAGTATCAAATAAATTGATCATAACACTCAAATAATTAAAGATATCTTTAATTATTCGAGTGTTTGTTAATTTGGCGCTCCGTATTCAAAGCTTATCGGAAATTCGGGATTCGTTCGAATTAACAGGAAGTTATTTTGTGAAATGTTATATACATCATGTATACTTCATGGCATCAAAAAGTCATTGTTTCTTTTATAACCTTCTGAAAACACATTTGCCATCGCCATTTTTAATAGTCTAAGTACTTTGGGAAAATATAAATATATTGAATGATGTGTCGATCATCGCAAAGTGTTCTTAAACTTCACATGAAAATTACAGGATTCTCTTTTTTTAACTCCTTTTGAATTCCATAACCAGTCCTCTCATTGTTAGTCAGTTTAATGAGTTAAACAGTGAATATTCACTTGAAGACTGCCCATGTTAGGTCTTTACAGCCATACATTACAAAATCATTGTATATATGTATTATAAAGATAAAAGGACTCTTAAGCAGATTTTTTATATTATAATGTACACTTTCGTACCAAATACTTAACAATTTCTGCCGGGTCATAACCTGTTTATTATTATGACATAGATGCATTGTCCCTGTCTGTCATATAAATTCTGTGAGTGGACAAGAGTTTGCGGTAAAGATAATGTACAATAGACAATAAGGACTATATAAGGTTTGCTGGGTGCTGCCATCTCAATCGGAGATCATGGCGTGCTTCGGACTGGTGGTAGTTTTGGCGATGTGTTTCGTTCGGACTGTGTACAGCGTAGGATATATTGGCAAAAGACCCCCGTCCCAAGCCGCCTGCTATTACGAGGATATAAATGCCGCTCATTTCAGCTACGAACGGGGTTTCTGCGAAGGTGAGTGATTGAAAGATTTCGAGGTTTGTTCACATTTTGCACACATTTGAAAATTGGTTGTAGGAAAAATGTGTGGGAAACGGGAATTTGTCCTGGTAAAAGTAAGTCCTTAATTGCTATAGTCTATACCATAGTTTCTGATTGAATAGGGGTATATAAGAGTATAAAACAAAAAGTAGTCGTACATATTTTAAATCATAAATTGAACTTGAAGATTATGAAATTCATAACAAGGTTAAACTATTTTAAAACATAGAACAATCAAAATGATTATCTTCAGCTTGTTTCTGTAATTATTCGGGTTTCTTCGGCTTCATTGACTTGAAATGTTCAAGAAAATTTTCCCATTCATCTAATAATGCATTAAATTTAAATAGCATATATACAATTTTTTCTTTAATACAACTGTAAACATAAATATTCTAATAAATTCTACCTCTCGTGGCGCAGTGGTTAGAGCGTTTGCTCTAGAGTCGCGAAGTAAGGAGTTGATCCTTACGTCGGGGGTTCGAATCCCACTGTGGGACGTGGAGACCGAATGAGACCGTATAAACCGAGGTCCCGTGTCACAGTAGGTGTTGGCACGAAAAAGGTCCCTCACTGCTCAATGGCCGTAAGTGCCGAGCATAGGACAAAATTTGCAGCTCTCCACCGGCAAGTGGTGGCGTCTCCATATGAGTGAAAAATTCTCGAGAGGGACGTTAAACAACATACAAACAAAAAAACCTCTTCTTTTTTTTCCCAATACACTGATAAAATAAGGTAGATCCAGGTAAATCTCAGACAGAAAGCAGACTATAATTGTCATCAAAACCCATTTCACACCTATTGTTCTATATACCTAATTATCAAATGTGCGCAAATCGGGATCGGAACACACCAATTGAAATACATGTAATTTCGATAACCTGTGAATATGATGTTTCATAATTTTACAGCTATAAGCTAATTCTACATTTTTTCGGATCCCGTGGAAACTGTCTTTTTTCTTTTATTTTTACTTTTCTAAATGCTAAATAACTTTTCTAAAAGCTTGTTTTCGGATCATTGTATGTATCTAACGGTAACATACTACACGTATCGGCTTTCTTACTCTGCCAAAAATTATCATTCATTAAGCACATGACTACTGCACCCTAAAAAAGCCAATTTTGAAAAGAAGTACATGTATAATATTTCAGTACCAACTTCAGTTTTGTATTATTTGGTAGTTATATAACTACATTTAAACAGAATGTTAGTATAGAATTATTGAGTATGTGTTTATAGTTAGCACGAATAAACTTCTATTATTTGAAAATAATATTTAACAGCAATATTATCATTTAATTTGTTAGCTCATATCGTCAAAGAATAATGTGATATTAAAAGAAAAATCTTGACTTTTTCAGACAATTTAATATTTACGTGTCATTGTTCTAGCAAAAAAATAATAATTGCTGTACATCCAAGGACAGAAGAATCGAATCATTCATCTTTATAAATCCTTTATATTATGACATTTGTGCATGTCTACAAGATACCAAAACAATCAAAGTTATAAAATGGTAATTTTAGAACAGGTAAATACACTTAAGAGACATGTCATTCCCCTAAACACTTTGTAAATAGGAGTTTTGCATATAACATGTGTCGTCGGAAAGGGGTCTTTGATCAACTAGTTACAAGATTTACATAATATTTGCAGCTACCGGTATGTAATAAACTAGGCAGTTGTACGTATGTTCTCAACTGTATAAATTTAATTAGACTATTACCGATGTATCACTCAAAAAATAATTAAACACATTATAGGTTATGAAATTTAAATCGAAAAGCAAAATGTCTAAAATCTCAAATTTATTTATTTAAAATTAACAGAGAGGGCACTGCTAATGGCTTAACTTTTCTGACATGAAAGTGAATAAGATTTAAAAGGACACTGTCACCTTCATAGGGTTTAAAAATATATATTATACAAACAGAAAATGGATGTATGGATTGGTATATGTTTTTTTAAATCTCTTTTGGTTGTAATATCGATCAAAAATAAAATAAAAATCTAAAATATCAAGAAATTGTAAACTTTCTATGATATTCAAAATTCTACCTTTTTGCCATCAACCTAATAAATCCATAATTTTTTTTTTTTTTTACTTTTAAGTTGTTAATTCATTTGGGGGGGGGGGGGTTATATTTTTATTTATTTATTTTTTTTTTTTTTTTTTTTTTTGAAAAAAAATGTTTGTTTGTATCATCTTTCCTTAACTCACATAGAAATATATACATGTCAATTTTTAAAAAAAATCTGATATAAACAGACAACCAAGTGATACATGTATGAGCCCGGGGAAGTGGTATAATATAATCCCGCACTTCAAACTAATAATTAAATATATCAAGAGTTATCGTTTAAAAAAAATAATTCAGTTACTGAGTTCCATAAATACTAAAGAACTATGTAACCTACTTAGCAGGTAAATTTCTGTATTTTTCTTATCAATTAAGAAATAATGTTTTAAATAGTGTACAATAACAAATGATAAAGCAGTATAAATGCTATTGTTTATGTAATTGCTAATGTATATTATATAGCATATAGTACACTTATCCTGTACAAATCTTATTTGTAAATATTTATGTACATATTTTGTATACTTATGAGATGTACTGTCTCACGAACCATGAATCTTTGTTTTACTGGTGTTTACTTTATGAAGGATCCACCGGAAAATCATTTAAAAAATCTAATAAATGAGTTAAAAAATAAGAACACTATTCATTTTACTTAATTATAACTACTTAAATAATTTTTAAAAAACTTTCTCTTTACTCCGCACAAACAAGTTCAAGTTATTCACTCAAACCAATTAATGGTACATGAGGTTCTATGTACAATATATACAAAAAACAATATACAAGATACACGTGAAATGGCGGAAATACATTCAAATTATAAAAAAATAATAATTATGGAGGACAGACTTGTTCATATACCCTATCTATGTAACTGCTTAGTTTGATTAATACCTTGGAGTCAGCAGTTGACAACAATGCTGAGAATTTGTAGAAATTTGGTCTATTACAATATTTACTAGGTAGATACTTTTTTCTGCATTCTGAGAAAAATTGACATTCTAAAACATAGTGATACTCATCTACTATTTGTCCATTATTACAGATATTACAAAGTCTATCATCTTTGGGAATTCCAAACCATCTCCCAGTCTCAACTGGGAGACGATGATTTGCTGCAAACACAATACCACTTCGAACTTTTAATTACGTGTAATATATTTTTTGTGTACTACCCATCGTTGTCAATCGTTATTTAATTGTTAAATCTATGCGATCTTGATCCTCTTGGAGAGGACTTACATAGGCCATGCCTGATGTCCATTCCATTTATATAACGAGTTTTACATTACAAAGTAATGAATATCATAGTAGTTTTTCTCTTCTATTTTTTAAAACTGCTTTCTTTTGTTAAGAACAGTCTTAAACAGTAAAATGACTTTAATATGGAATTCCACATACGACAGCCAACTGCTTACTGCCAACTGCTCACTGTTTACTGCCAATTGCTCACTGCTTACTGCCAATTGCCACTGCTCATAGATGATATTGCTTGTTTTGTTATCTTTAATATCTTTAATACGCATGCTTAATTGAATAAACCCTACGATAGATTACAATAATAACAAAAATTGGCGGATTCAGGAATTTTTAAACAGTGAAGGCAAGGAAGGAATAAATAGAAGGAAAGAGTATTCGCTCTTAAATACAATACATCTAATTCCCACATATCCTTGCAGGCAAATAATTCAATAGATTTTTTGACGGGGGGGGGGGGCTTATTATTATTATTAAAGGCTTATATACGTCAGAAAAAATGGGAGGGGGACTTTAAGTAGGATCTTGGGTTTCATTTGTTGGTATATACATTTATATCAGAAATACTTATTTTAAAAAATCATAAAGGCCTTTTACTCTATGTAAAAACAGTTGATCTCAGACAAGGAAAAGCAATTTCAGTGCTGGGGGAGGGGGGGGGAACAACCCAACATAATTCCCTTGAGAAGGAATTAAAAAAAATCACAGGCGTCTTTATTGAGGGAGCACTACTGTATTGTATATTTTGGAAATTTAGTGGGTACGCCCCCATCCCCCAACCACCACCACGAATGTTTTTACAGATCTAACATATAATATTAGCTATTAAAACGATACACATAAGACACATATAAAAATTCCCACACATAGGAACTTTTCCCAGGGTAAAAAGAAACACCGAAAGACATTTCTAGATGTTTTACACTAGGGAAAAGTTATGTTTCAGTAATATTTTTAGTATAAATACATATACCAACAAATGTTACTCAAGATCCTTCTATAAGTTTGTTCTTTAGTCGTATGTGACTCCCCCCCCCCCCTTTCCCGGGTCAAAAAAAGCTACCAAATTATTTGCCTGCAACGAAATGCAGAAATTAGATGTTTTGTTTTTAAGAGGAAATACTCCTTCTTCCGATTTACTCCTTCCTCGCCTTTACAGTGTACAAATTCCTGAATCCGCCAAATTTTGTTATTATTGTAAGAACTACACACACTAACTCTCGATTCCCGCCTACATTTTCCTTCCATTTAATTTAATATGAATGGCAATTTGGACATTAAAACTTGTTTGAATGCAAAGAAAATTCCATTAGTATTAAGTACTCATTTAAAAAAAAAAACAGTGGCAAAAAGTTAATTGCCCTTATTTACAACTCCTTTCATAAGGGGACAGAAAATTTTATTAATTGAAATCAGGCTGAAAACATCACCAGATTTTCAAATACTCATTAAAATTGATAATTGACTCTTAAATCTCACCGTATGTTTAATTTATGTAAAATTCAACATATGAGATTGATAAAGTGATGAAGTACATTTTTTATTTGTTATCTCATTTGAAATTGATAATAAAATCATAATAAATGACTACTTTGCTGTTTTAAATCTTTAAACACGTGCCCCCCCCTCCCCGAAAGACAACAAAACCTTTGGAATGAATAAAAACTGAAAAAAAGGATTTGTTGTTTTGAAAATATGTTTTGAAAATAAATTTCCATTTTCCGTTAATTTCTGTAGTGAAAAATTTTCCCAAATTAAAGACTTATATATCTTTGTTTCTCCAAAAAGTTATGTTTTACATTCGCGGATCTAGAGGGGGGGGGGGTCGGGACCCCCCTCGGAATTTGTAGAGTTTTCTAATGTATATATTAAACCAACTAAAAGTGACCTTGGACCCCCCCTCCCTTAGAAAACGCGGATCCGTGATAAGTTTGTATGAAAAGTCATAGATATGAAGATATGAAGATATGGAGCATAAGAAGTCCCCTCCCCTCCCCCCCCCCGCCCCATGAGATAGGTTTTTTCACGTTTAGGAAAGGAGTTTACTTTTTTGTTTTTTTCTTGTCAAGAAATTTCTGGTTGGATTTTTTTTACTGGGGTGGATCCCTCCTGAAAAAAATTCCTGGATCCGCGCCTGGTTTTATGAAAATTCACATAAATATCAATAAAAATATGAGAATTTATTCAAATATGTGTGGCAGTTGGCAGTTAGCAGTTGGCAGTAAGCAGTTGGCCGTCGTATATGAAATTCCATACATTAACGTATCATAAGTTTTTTTTTTTTTTGGGGGGGGGGGGGAATACATAATTTAAATGTACTTAAATGACATAGATCTCAGTAATGGTATTGAAACAGTATCTGAAAACTACTGTATGATGTTTTTTTTTTCAAACATATGAAATTTGATTTCGACTCTTATCTCTAAATTGTTATGTTCTGAAAATATCATTTGAAAATCAGCTAAATCAAAATCTTTTCTCTTCCCAACATTAATATCATTAATAAAATTAACACTGAAAAGTCAAATATTAAGTGTGTTTAATTAATTTTTATTTTCATAAATTGCAATTCCCCACCCCACCCCACCCCGTTCTAATGATGGACAATTTTGTAAAATGTTTAATCGTGCTAAAATTAAAACACCAGAAAATTATCTCCCTGACTTTGAGCGGCATTTAAACAAATTAAATAAATAGATAAATTTCACATCAAACATTATCTACCAATCAGAAAGAAAAAGTACATTAACTCCGAAGATTGTTAAACACCTCAGCTCTACATACCGTCTTTGAACGATTGTTAAACGTTCTCTATTTGTCTTCCAAGAATGACGATTATTACTGACTGCCTCCCGGCGACTGGTTACAAGGTCGGATTATCTATAATCTTTACTTTTACAGGGCCATATATTTATTTCCACCCCAGCCCAATCCCCGTTCAAAATCAACAGCTTCCCTTCTCTTCATTTGATTTAACACCCAGATGATAAAAAGAAGAAAAAACCCCTATAAGATCTGGCTACTATCCAACCCGACATTTTGTTAGATTTTATTAAGTTAGAATATTATTTTCTCACTCTTGAGTTTGCGAATCAAATGACGAGATTTTCTTTTAGAATTAAACACACTGTATATTTTGTTCTATTTAGAAGGTACATGTACAATACATTGTGCTAACTACCAACCTATTTAAAAGACATCAAGCCTATGACCTCTTTCACTTTATGAAAAAAAAACCAAAAAATTACCTTTACAACATTTTCTCTTGTCCATTTAGTGTTATTATTTCAAAGATGTTCAATTAATTAAAAGATTGAAGAATGATTATGTGAATTAGCGAGTACTCATTAGAATGACTTGTAATGATCCCTTCTGTTTTCTCAATATTAGGTCCAAGGGAATGGTGTTCAGTTAACAAATGTTGGACGACGTGTGGCTCAGACAGAAGACAATCTCCCATCAATATAAACACACACAGAACAGAGTGGAGATATTTTAGGAATCTGGAGCTTAAAAATCTCAACAATAGAGCGGACGCTGAAATCTTTAATAATGGTAATTTATGATATAAAAAAGGTAATAAACAAAAAAATAATTACTACGCAGAGAAGGGAGAAGGCGGGGGATCAAATTATAGAAGAATGGCATTGAGATGTGTTGATAAAACACGGTCTTATAGAAACTTTCCGATGATTACCGATGATTTTCGGGTAAAAAGAACATTTTTTTTACCAATAAATTTGCTTGAAATGTTCAAAAATTTGGTATATAGGACTCTAAAATGAATTTTCTCAGTTCAAAGACATTTTTAAAAAAGATAAATACAATCTTTGACTGTTACTGGACGCCTTTTAAATGAATACATCTATATGAAACTGAGATGACTTTTTGACCTGGTCAAAGATTACATACTAGGGCATTTTTTATATATTTCCGGGATGTCAATTTTGATGTTTACAGCTTCAGACAGTCAGAAACAAGTAACGTGGGAAGTTGTTAATATGGACGACATTTTTCTCTAATCAAAATGACAAAACATCTTCAATTGATTCCTAGTACGTGTATTATGATTGGGTTTTGTTTGTTTGTTTGTTTGTTTGTTTTTTTAGAAAGATTGAAAATTTAAAAAGAGCAACATTGAATCATGTTGATACTGTAGGTATAGTTTAACACGTCATTTCATTTGGAATTTTTCATTAACTCCACAGGAAGATAGAATGCTGATATATCTGACTGAATGTCATGAGTGCTTTTGTTATCATTAATTCATTTATCTGATATTAGTACATACAGGATATTAAATGTTTTGTAGTTTGATATGGAATTTATTTCACGAGTGGGACAGGATTTTATTTAAATACATGAGTGCGAAGCAAGAGTGAAAATATATGAAAGAATCCTGTCTCACGAGTGAAATAAAAATTCCATATCCAACTACAAAACAATGACTTTCCTGTTTATCGTTTTCTTTGATTTTCCCTTGCCTCTGTATTTTCGTAACACAGTGTCATAAGCTGTGAGGTCAAAGTTGAGCGGTTGAGACGTCATAGCTTAGCAATTGTGAGATTGAAAACAATGTAATATGGATTTTAGCAACATCTTTGGGAAGAAATTGATAGTTTTAGTCTCTATCAAGACGGTTTAGCTACTATATCTCCTGACAGACCAGAAATTATTTTTTACTTACTTTGATATCCTTTCACACTGTGAGAGAATACCACTTTGATATCCTTTCACACTGTGAGAGAATACAACTTTGATACTGTATCCTTTCACACTGTGAGAGAATATCACTTTTATTCAATAATAAATCACAGTATTTGACTGTTGAAAATGTAATAAAGTTTTTTTTATTTTATAAAATCTAATTTAATTACAGGACATTCTCCTCACTTTGATGTCAATGTAGACAATTATTATGAGGATAACAATATTATTCTGACTCATGTCCCCGGAAGGCCGAGCTACAAGAAGTACATCTTTGCCCAACTTCACGTGCATATCGGCCACGAGGAGGACAAAGGGTCAGAACACTCAATCAACGACAGATTCTACCCTATGGAGGTAAAATAAATATTCAGATTTTAACTTCAAAATAAACAAGGTCAGACGCTCAAGTCATTTTGTGCTCCTCATCACTGAGGTTAAGTTGTAAATATTTTTTATGTGACTGGTTGTCCATGAGATGTTAGTACTCTAGGGTTTTGCAAAAGAATAACTATAAGGACACAATAAATGATGACAAGAGAAAAAATCTATTTTTTTTTTTTTTTTTTTTTTTTTTTTTTTTGAAGAATGGCCTTTTTTTTTTTGATTTTGTAAAAATGCAAACTGATTGCGTGCACTTTAACATAAACATGCTTTCAGTGTGTGTTAGAAGGGGTTCATATCCACCTAAAACAGCTTTAGTTCTTAATACTTCGTTCTTAACATTAATAGGACATGTTTAGATGTTGTGATGCAGTTTTGGGGTCGAAAATTGTGGTCAATGCTGTCAGTATTCCTACTCCTATCTTCAACAGTTTTTTTTTACCATGCATACAGAAGTATATTGAATCAGTGTAAAAACAAACGTTTGGGAGACATAAATGGTAAATGGATTTTTTTCCGACTTTATTCATAATAAGAGGTGCAATTTCAGGCTCACATGGTCTTTTACGACAGTATGTATTCAGACATAGGCCATGCAAAGTTCGCCCGCGACGGTTTGGTTGTTTTGGGCGTTATGTTGGAGGTAATTGGTTTTTTTTTTAAAAAACTTTTTCTAACCCAATATATAATAAATCAGAATACAGAATTTGTTTTCTTTAAATTTCAATAATTTCGTTGAAACTTTAATATTAACCTCAATGAGAATTTACTTTTAAATATATTTTCAAGCCTGACAAGAAGGAAAGTGAGGATTCTGACGATTCTGATGAAGACGACGATTCTGATGAGGATGAAGATGAAGACAATGGCATAAATGATAATGGAAAGGTTATTATATTTGGTTGTAGATTCAATGGTGTTAAATTTAACACAATGTTCAAAATTGTCAAAGTTCAAGGACTTTTAAACTTATTTTAAGGTTACCTGAATCACTCAGGTGACCTATTGCTATCCGTTTTTGTCCGTCGTCGTGCGTTGTCCGTCGTGCGTTCACATTTGAACATTTTCAACTTCTTCTCTGGAACCGCTAAACCAATTTCAACCAGTTTTAGCATATAGCATCTATTGATAAAGCAAAAGAAAAATTATGAATTTCATTGTCCCTGTCCCCTCTGGGACCTGAGGAGTGGGGCTAAAACCACCAAAATTAATGCAATCCTTAAAAATCTTTTTCTTACTCCTGGACATCAAGTAGTTAAACTGTTGGCATAATTGTAATAAGCACTGAGACAATTTGGAAATTCATGCCTCAGGGTCAGGGGTTCTGGTGCTAAGACGGGGCTGTATAGATCATATAATGAAAGTGCATTATTTCTTTGAAAATATTCTTCTCTTCTCCTGGGTATCAGACAAACAAACTAAATACAAAGTTATGATGAGGAAGGATGCCTCTTTCCAATTTGTGAATTTCATGGTCCCTGGGCCAGGGGTTCTGGTGTTGGGGCGGGGCTCTATAGATTATACATGTATAGTGAAAATGCATTAATTCTTTGAAAATCTTCTTCTCTGCTCCTTGGTATTATTTAAATAAACTAAGTGCATGGTTATGATAAACAAGGATGCCTCTTAAAAAATTCCGAAATTCATGGCCCCAGGGTTGGAGATTCTGGTGAAAGAAGGGGGCTCTATTAATTATATAGTGAAAAAGCATAATTTGTTTGAAAATATTGTTTTTTCCTACTGGTTAAAAAGCAAAGAAACAAAAAGTGTACAGTTATGATGAGCACGAGTGCTTCTTTCAGAATTGTGAGTTTCATGGCCCCTGGGTCAGGGGTTCTGGTGTTCGAGCGGGGCTTTAATGATTATATGGTGAAAATGCTTTAATTCTTTGAAAATCAGTTCTGCTGCTGGGTATTAAAATGTGTTATTTCTTTGAAAATCTTCTTTTCTGCTCCAGGGTATTGTTTAAACTAATTAAGTGCATGGTTATGATAAGCAAGGATGCCTCTTCAAAAATTGCGAAATTCATGGCCCCAGGGTTGGGGCTTCTGGTGAAATGAGGGGGGGTCTATTAATTATATAGTGAAAAAGTTTTCATAAGCTAGGATATTTTAACCAGATTTTTGAACATCTGGACCATTTGGTCACTTGTTGGGGTCCTGACCAGGGATCTATTAATTTTTATTCTACTGAGAAAAGTTATCCCCTTTGTCATTCATTTTGATAATTAATGACTGTAAATAATGTATTTGAAAAGTTAATAGAATAAGGGAATTATGCAAGAAATGTTATTGTATAATACAAAAGCACTTTCATAGTTTTCATGATCAGATAGACTTGTAAATAATAGATAAATAAAAATGAGACAAAAATTACATATTTCATTAAATCTTCTCCAAAGACCTATTGAGGCCAATGTGAGAGGCTATAATATGAGGTTGAAAATAGTACAAACGCACTAATACTTTGATAATAGTCTGCAAGGTGATAGTGATAATGGGTGACAGATTAGAACTTAATTTATGAGTTGTAACCAAATGCTAGACTAATTATTTTGTTGATCCTTATCATCCTATTTCTCTTGCTAGTGGTCAACAAAGCTTCATCTGTCAGTTTATTTTATACTCTTTGGATCCTCTAAATTCTTGTATTATACTCAGGTGACTGTTAAGGCCCTTGGGCCTCTTGTTAACAATGTTGAAGCTAATTCAATAGTTTTGCATGATGATTTCTGAAATTGAATCTTTTAACTCATAAATTTAGGTCAAACTACAGAATTGTAGTGCGTTACATAATCGATCGCGTCAAATGACTATTTTTCCTGTTAACTTTTCCCCCTTCTTTTTAAGTGAATGTCATTAAAAAGAATGTATAATAATGTTATTTATTTTGTATGTTACAGAATAGAAGAAATAAAGACGGTCTTGGATGCTCAAGTCTTGGCGATGACGATCAAGGCTTTTTCAGAGGAAGACTATACAAAGGGGTATTGTTTTACTCAATTCTAAATGGAAATATAAGGTTTGCAATCCAGTGACCCTTTTCACAAAAATGTTTAAATGCTATTACATAGTAAATAATATTTTTGAAAAAAAATAAATATCTTTATTTAACAAAGAGTTGTCAAATTTTATTTTAGTCATACGATTTGTAGTGAAAAGAAACATAGAGCTTTGAAAAACATGTACAAGATTTTGAGAACGAAAACAAAGCTCACATTGTAGTTCTTAAGTTTTTTTTTTTTTAATTTTAAATCTTATACCAGCTCGTCTCATTTCCAAGATAATACATATTTCCTTTTCTATTTATATACAGCATGGTGAATGCAGAGTGCGGTTTGCTAAAACATTAAGTAAAATTATGGAGAAATACTATAAAAAGATTAAAAAACACAATGCTGCTGAACCAGATACAGGCGGTTCGGACAAACCTCCCGATGGTAAGCAGTTCCTTGTTTGGTTTTGGAGTCAAGCTCCAAAATGATAGAGATAAATTTAGTATATACATGTACACGATGGTACAATTTTACTAGTGAAATAGGTAAAGAAACGAACAGTGATCAGTCTTAAAAAACCTACAAACAATACAAATCTATGATCAGGGCATTAAATAAGGAGCCCTGGAAATTCAAAATGTGTTGAATCAGGTGCCATGAGTAATAAGCATATCCTTCACTATGTAATGATTAGGTTGACAGAATAATCCGTAGTCAAATTTATTATGAAACAAAGGCCGAACAATTGGTACTATATGAAATACACATGTATGTCAGTTAAAATTCGACTCATTAATCGGTAGTATTTGCTATCTAGGCCATTATAACGATCTTAGAATTTACCAAATGCTGGCTTTAAACGAGGTTGTTGAAAACCCTGTTACATCAACTTATTTATCAGTTGCTTGCCTGGGTTAAAATAGATTGTATTCAGAGCATGCTCTTGAGTATCGAATAAGTTGGGAGACATAAACACTACATGCAGATGAGAGAGGTATATTACTATATAAATAAGGAAAATTGTGCAGACATTCACTGTTTCGAGATTGAAGGCTACAGGGAAGCAACCATGACTTTCTCCAAAATTTTTGGTTAAAATTCCTTTATTTAAAATATTAAATAATTCCATATGCTTGCTGGATTTTTTTCAGATCTTCAATGTGGAAAAACACCGAGTTATAATTACATTAATAACAACTGTTTCAAAAGAGAGACCCATCATGATGATATGGTGAATGTAGAGTGTGGGATTTCCCCGGCAGATGTCCTTCCATACGATCAAAGATTCTACACGTATGCCGGATCTTTGACCACTCCACCTTGTTACGAAACTGTTCAATGGATTGTCTTTAAATGTCCTGTAAGAGTGTCAAACAAGGTTGGTAAAACCATACAGTATTTAAAAAAAAATATGAAATAAAATAAAACAAATATTACACATATTAAAGATCGATGGTCACCTTTTATTTTGGATTAAATAAGATATTTCTCATTTTTCAGTTACTGTTGTTAAACTTTGTCATATTTTTCATTTTACCTGGTAAAGAAAGTTTAATATTCGTGTTGTCTATCATTTATTTATTTATTCATTCATTCTTTTGCGTTCATTTGTGAACAGCCATTAAAGATACAAATGCAATGTATTAACATTCTATTTTTTATTATAATTAGACGAAATTAATGCTGATTTCTAAATTCCTTGACTGTCATTTTTAATTGTACTTGAGATAAACACAATAGTTTAGAAAGACATGTGAATATTTACACTGTATTAGAATTTGAATTCGATCAAGATTTACAATCAATATATCAACTGCTTACACTCTAGACATTTAAAAAGCTGTATCATCACATCTTCTTTTTTCCTAGGCTTTTAAGAGACTACAAGAAGTCGAGGATTCCCACAAAGACCCACTTAAAATGTTAGGCATTCGCAGACCAATTCAGGTGATCTATTTATTTTATGATGTTTTGGTCATATTCTTACTTGGCATATGATTTGATTTCGTTAACATCTTATTTTTAATCTTTTCAGAGAAATAAGTATGTCAGAGTTTACAGAAATTTCTGAATGAAAATGGATTCCGGAAAATTTCCTAGGTAAAATGTATCGAGTGTATAAATAATGCTTTTATTGTAAAATAATATTATGTATGAACATTACTTTTTCAAATAAATTCTTGAAATGGTGATTATTGAAACAGTATTAATTGCTAACAGGTTGAAAGGCTTTCTCTTGCAATTCCCAGTACAAATATCATGCAATGCACACCACAATCAACGACAAAGTATTATCAAATGTTATATAATATTTTAAAAAGATGAATGACACCAGCACTGTTTGATGCACATCATGTGGCATCGGAAGAAATTCCCTGAGGAATGAAATGAGTGATCAGCCTGCATTTATGAATAGGAAAGAATCAAATAATGGAAGGGAAAACTGCTGACCAGATTGCATGGATTTATAAAAATCACTGATTTAATGTATAATCTATGATAGCGTATATAGTCACACAATCTTTGTTAAGGGAGTGTGCTTTTTAATATGGAGTATTCTGGTGAAATGGTAATGGAAAGAAATTAGAGAACAGTGAATAATGAATCCTATACGACTATAATTCTGCACACGGAACCCATTTCTCGTGACTGTGACAGGGGTGTTTAACCAAGCTTTATGTTTAATTCACAAGACAAAGTATTTTGAGTGCTTATTACTTATTACCATATACATCTGTCTTTCAATAGATGCTGTTATATGTTGCACCTTCGATTAACATAGTCTGAACAGGCATGATTTGCAACGCTCAATTATTAATTTTATTTTGATGTATATTAATTTTATCTTGAAGTATTCAACTAAAATTAGTTTATTGTTCGGTTCGATACATGTAGCATGTTTGAAGAAAGTATATGCTTGAAAGTTCTCATGATGCAAGACAGAATATAGAAGAATTTACTAGCGTAAAGTTGCCTGATTAACATTTCCTTGAGTGAATCACCTTATCTTGAAATACTAGAAATAAAACATTCTTTACTCCTCCATGGCACCTGATCCCACCTCTGTTTTCAGAGGTCCGTGTTGGCTCTGCTCATAATTTGTATTGTTTAAATGGACTTTTGAGACTGATCTCTGTTTGTTTTCTTCACATTTCAATCACAGACTTCTAAAACAAAGAAACCATCTGTGTTAATACTATGTTTAGTCAAAATAATTTTTTTTTAGCTATAAAGACACAACCAACATTTTCTGTAACTGCAGTAACGTACAATGTATTGTTTATATTGTTATGTCTAGCCAGAATTGATTGCAGCTTACCAAAGATCAATCTTTAAAGGCTTGAAAAGGTTTGTACGAGTAAACAATATTCTCCATGATTATGTACGGTGAATTCACCATGCAACGGACACCCTCGTACTTGAATAAGTTCTAGCGATATCTCTACCGACCGAATATTATCAAAAAGGAACTTAACCGTATAATATGACTGAAATATGAAATTATGATACAATTTTTTGCTATATATTGAGAGATTATCATTAAACATGAATTTCCTGGAATGACACAGAATTCACCTTGGATCGTACAATATTCACCATGCATCGGACAAACGGTATATTGTATGGAAAAACGTCCTACCTTTATCACATACCTGAAATGCTTATAAAGTAGTGAAACGAACATATTTTTATGCTTTATAGTAAAGTTAGCTCTCTATTTTAATTTGATTAACTATATTGATCCACAAATACGGAGAGATTTTAGTTGCATCACATCGCCTTAGATAGGTTTTGCAATGCCTCGTAATATGGCAACTTGCAACTTGTTCAAATCGTTCTCGGGAGTTATCATAGATCTTCTAGTTTGAAGAAATGAAGAGAGCCCACTTCTAGTTGCATGTCATATATGGAAAAATATATAACTTGTATTTCACTGAAAATGTTGAGTTTAATTTTTTTTTTAATTTCTGCAAAAAACAGCTGTCAGTTTAGTATTATATATACATGTACATGTATCTCGAAAGAGGAAGTAATTAGCCTATCTATGCATTACACAATGTCCGATGTATGGTTAATTTGTGTCTGATGCATAGTGAAATGAACATGCTAGTGAAAAGCAACTCTAAAAAAATTTATACAAACTTCAAAATTAAATTTCTTGAAATTTTCTGTAAAACTATCAATCATTAGCAAAATTCACCCAAAAAGGACTCGTTCGATAAAGTCTAATGATCTAAAAATTTGCAAAATCATAATATTCTGGTTACTCCCCTTCGATGATGTCAAATATGACGGTAGAATATGCTTCTTTCACTTTTGCTGCCGACAATAATTTTGGCAAGACAGTGTACAACACGCATAACCGGTTGGCAATTACCCGAACAATTCCTTTCCAGTTTCTTTAATTAACGTGTAGACATTTGACTTATAAATTTTTAACTTGTTTTTTCTGCCGATTAATCATGTATTTGTTTCAATTGTGGAGATGTGTTCTTTTCAGCCAATCTAAAAACTTTACTTTCGGTAAGCCTCGTTTTGACGTTACAAACGCTATCGTGAGTCTTTATTAAACTCTCTGCTCGTCGGAGTTTACGGAGACAGCCGAGTGTCTCGTTGAACGAAACTAGGAATATTTATCACTCTGCACGCCTCGGCCGATTTGTCCCAGGTTTGCCGAATAGGAGATTTATCACAACATGATAATAAAATCAGCATCATTAAAAAGTTTAATCTGTTCGATGCATGGTGAACTCATCTTACAATCTTTCTATTCATATTTGTAGTTGCACCATAGACATATTTTAATGAAACGTCTTTTATAAGCAAGGATTCTATTGTAGGGATTGTCTCCATTCAAAAGGACATATATAATGTTTGTTTCTTAACTGCAGCTATTATCAAATATCAAAGTCAGGGTTATTGAACCCCGACATCCTGTTGACTGGTCTTCGAGTTACATGTATCAGTAAAAATATTTTATAGTCTGGTATACATGTACCAATAAAAAATATTATACGGGGTGGTATACAGTTGCGTATATATTATTTTAAAAATAATTTTCATTAATTTCATATTTCTTTTTTTGTAATTATTCGAATAGAAGTCGAGAGTAAGCAGAAACAACTGGGTTTCGTGATTCCCTTCATCGAAATTGCTTTTCTCTCTCCTCGAGGTATGGGTTTTACGCTGATTTATTGCATGCAATAATATTTTCTGAACACTTCCTACAGACTATATTACATGCTTTTACATAGTTAGATGAAGCCGAGAATTTGATTGCATATATAGAAAAAAAGTTGAATTTTTACTTTTTTTTTTCCATCGTCTTATATGCTGTACATAACTGATATGCATGTAGTATATAGGTAGTACATAGGTAGCTTTTCTAGATGTCTTTTCTATCATGGTGATTATTGGCTGTTGCTATAGCAAACATATCCCATTATCAAGGAAAGGTAGTCTTTATGGTCAATTTCTTTTGTGTGAGTGTTGTTCATTTTTTTATGTAAGTGAATAATGTAGAATAAAACTAAGAGCATAGGCTATGACGTAAAGAGGTCATTAATCGAAATTGCGATTTGTCATATTCATAGTAGTTAATCCTCCAAAGATATTAATTCAAGAAAAAGTGAGTAAGTTGCAAACACAGCTAGCGACCGTGTCAATACAAGGTAAAATAGAAAGGCAGATTAAATTCCCAATAAACTACAGGAATTATACGTTTGTTTTGAGTTATGATTACAACGTTAGGAAGTGAATTGTGAAAACAAAGTGTTATTATCTCTAGTGTCTTCTATTGTCTTAAAACATGGGTACTATAGTGACTACACCTCTCTGTGGTGAGACTAATTACAACAGAATCGGAGTTAAAGAAGCTGCTGGGCCCAAACTCTCTGAAGAACAGCTTAATCTATTGGAAAAATCATGGAATTCTATCAAAGTAAACATCGCCAATATCGGTGTCGTTACATTTATAAAGTAAGTCGGCTTTTATTATTTCATTTTTTTACGTGACATTAAAAATCCAGTTTTAGCCATTAGACATTTTTTGTGTGAAAACAGTTTTGAATAAGTTGTTCAGTTCTACTACATTTTCAAATATTCAAGGCATATGCAAACTCGTAAAACATTGTACCATTGAATATTTTTTGAGGAGTTTAAGCATTTTGATGATAAGAATGATAGATGAAATATGTGAGGATAACGAACAGTATTCGAGCTCAAAAGTACAGATTTCTTCTGCATGCAAAAAACTAAATATGCTTGTAGATGTTTCTAAGAATTCAAAAATTTTGAATATTTAAAATAAAGAATAAAAAATCCTCTCGAAAGTTTTACTTTCTCCATGTAGCATTATTAAGAGTTTTTTCCCACTACATTTACATTGGAAAAACGACTTATTAATTTGTAAAATGTAATAAGGACGAAAAGAAGAATATCTGTGGTTTTTTAGCTCACCTGAGCCGAAGGCTCAAGTGAGCTTTTCTGATCAAAATTTGTCCGTTGTCTGTCGTCGTCGTCGATGTAAACTTTTCACATTTTCATCTTCTTCTCAAGAAACACTGGGCCAATTTCAACCAAACTTGCCACAAAGTATCCTTGGGTAAAGGGGATTCAAGTTTGTTCAAACGAAGGGCCTCACTTCTTCCAAGGAGGGATAATTACGAATTTGTGAAAAATTAATGGCATCATTTAAAAATCTTCTTCTCAAGAACCACTGTGCTTGAAAACATGAAACTTATATGGAAGTATCTTCAGGTAGTGTAGATTCAAGTTTGTTCAATTCATGACCCCAGGAGTAGGGTGGGGCCACAATGGGCGGTCAAAGTTTTACATAGGAATATATGGGAAAAATCTTTAAAAATCTTCTTCTCAAGAACAGCAAAGCCATGATTGGTCATATTTATATTGAAGCATCCTCAGGTGGTGTAGATTCAAGTTTGTTCAAATCATGACCCCCAGGGGATAGGGTGGGGCCACAATGGGAGATCAAAGTTTTACATAGGAATACATAGAAAAATCTTTAAAAATCTTCTTAAGAACAGAAAAGCCATGATTGGTCATATACATATGGAAGCATCCTCAGGTGGTGTAGATTCAAGTTTGTTCAAATCATGACCCCCAGGGAGTAGGGTGGGACCACACTTGGCGATCAAAGTTTTACATAGGAATACTTAGGAAAAATCTTCAAAAATCTTCTTTTCAAGAACAGCAAAGTCATGATTGGTCATATTTATTTGGAAGCATCCTTAAGTAATGTAGATTCAAATTTGTTCAAATCATGACCCCTCAGGAGAATAGAGGGGCGTTATTTGTCATATTAATTCAAAAGCATCTCTATGAAGTATAGATTCAAATTAGTTCAAATCTCCCCCCCCCCCCAACCACTTTTATATTTAAATTTTTCAAGACTGAAATGATTTCTGCTGTTTCCTAGCCAGAGTGCTCAGGTGAGCGATGTGGCCCCTGGGCCTCTTGTCATAATTATGTTTTGACGAGAGTAACCAAAGTATTGATATTAAAACTCACCATACGCACGCTGTAGAGTCACTGATTTTCGTTGGGTCAAATTTTTGTGTTTTAAGGAAAAATATTGCTCCTGGGGTTTGATTTCTTGGGTTTAACTAGAAACGTTATACATGTTACTGATGTCTGAAATATTCTAGTTTGTGGAGTACATGAGTTCATGGGTTATTTGATTCCACGAAAACACAACGAAAATCAATTTCCTATGAAAGGGATTTCACAATATCAATGGAAAACATGTTGAACTAGCTAGCATAGAGCGTTACGCGTTATATATATTATACTTTAAGTTTGTTTTGCATATTAATTGGGGAAAGTTATAAATAATATAAATGACTTTATTTGTCTCTAAACATATTTACCATAAAACTTAGTTGCACAATCTTAATTTGATCAGGATACAAGCTGGCGGTTTTTTTTAACATTTAGATCAATTTATTTAAGTTTACTTATAAAAAGTCATGCAAGGTACACATGTATTAATATCAAAAAAATCAATTTAACAAAGATCAATGTTCTAATCCGTTTCTTCCTTTCATCATTACTCCTCTTTATAGGTGCATATGAATTTTGCAATTTAAAAAAAATCTACTTGTATATGTATTCCAGATTCCAAGTTTCGTAACATGAGGAATGCCAGATATCCCCTTATATATGTAGAACATATTTGCTTCATACACAGTTGAAGGTCAATTTCATATTTTTTTTTCCTTAGAAGAAACATGTTGAGTAGCTGAATAGTATAGCGGTATAAAGCATTCTTGGTAACATGTAGATCAGATTAACAATATTGCAGGTGTAAGATTTTTGTGTGCTTTTTGCTATATTGCCTTGCCCTCCCACCCCAACCCCAATATATATATATATATATATATATATATATATATATATATATATATATATATATATATATATATATATATATATATATAATTAATAGAATATATTCCATTCATCTCCCCGTTATGTCTAAACCAGGTGTGTTTTATTGTTTTATTCAGAAGCTTAGATTAAACACTTATTTGTGTGGGGGAGGGGGAGCATATAATATTCATTTTAACTCGTATTTTTTAAAAACACTTTTATTATGTTCTAAAATCATTTCCTATTTGAAATAAACTTGTTCCAGACACCTTCATACTGGAACAAAGTATTATTCGAAATAATATTCTGGAATTTGGAATTTCAACAAGATGCATATTAAAGAGCTCGAAAACTTGAACATGGATTTATTTACAAAGACTTAGCCTTTTAACATTTTGTTATTGCTTTTTATTCATAACGAACTACACTGAAGTATTTGTATGAATTCTAAACACAAACACGCTACAGCACCTATCATTCTTATTTAATGTAAAAACACCAACAATCGAGAGAAAAAATATTTTTCATTGCTTAATCTTCTCAGATTGACAAGACTCAATATCTGTATAATTCAGTCCTAAGGCTGATATTGATGTCTTGCTCCCATGGTAATACGCATCCTCTGTTCTCTCTAGATTAACACCTAGAATATCTCATTCCGTAATGAAACAAAATTACATTTCCTTAAGCTCTTATTCTATTGATTCTATTAATACATAAAGACTTTAATACTTTAATTTTTTATTCATGAACTATCGTTGCATTGCTTAGTATTGTGTTAATCCGAAATTTCTCTTTATTTTCATAAAAATTCTTTTTATGTACTCAATATATTATTTGCTGCAATTATCACGTTTCTTTCTGTCCATAATCGTTTTTCAAAGGTTTGATGTGTTGTTGATATAAGATATCACTTCATATCTCATGTGAAATTAGATACAGTTGGTAAAAGGATATCCTTATATATTCACCATCGAAATTGTACATTATTGTGGATTTTTATATCAATCAACCTTCTTTGGTGTGAAATTCTAATGGAAAAGCTTTTGGAGTATGTGATTGAATTACAAAAACATTCTTTAATCTCTATAATCTTCAAAAGAGAGATCCTCCTGATTCAACTGTTTACAAAGATATTTTTACATTCAATATAAATTTCTTTATGAAATCCATTTGAAATCTCCAACATTCAATACCCTATAACACATGCGAAACCTTTTCATTGTGTGGGATAATACACAGTAGGAACTATATGCATTTTCAAAACTCTAGGAATACCAAAATGTATATTGTTTTGGCTCAGTTTAATTAAAACAATTACTCTATAAATTATTGTAAAGATTTGACAATTGTACCTTGAAAATTATTTTTTTTCCTTTTTTCTTCGCAATACATGTATTCACTTTCCACGTCACAACGGATCTTAGTTTATTAAGCATAAGTTCTGAAAGGTGCTAAATTCATAATAATGAAATTAACAATAGTGAAGAAAAAGAGAATTAGAGAATGTAAATATAAGCATTGAATTCTTATTTTGGGATGATGTCGGTCCTATAATGGCACCTGCCGTTCCGTCAAATAAAAAAAAGAGGTATTCAATTTGTCGGCACGGCCAGGTTTTGTTGTAGGACCGACGACATTCCAAAATAAGAATTTAATGCTTAAGTAAATTGATAATTTATTTAAGAGATGTTCTGTCAACATTTGCATATTAGAAAAGGGAATGTAATTTACAAAAGACGAGACTGGCTTGAAAAACTTGTCATGTGATTCAGTTTTCTATCATCATGATTTTTTACGGATTCAGCTATGCATCTTATGTGTAAATTCTGCATTTTGGCGATGAATTATAATAAATTCAAAATACGCTACAACCATTTATATGAAATAGATATGGTTGAGAATAATATGGAAAAAATTTAGGCGCCAATCAAAAATTTTACGCGCCATGGCGACTAAATCAGTCGCCAATTAGAGCCTTGCTCTCTCTCTCTTAATTTACGGATTTTATACTGATGTTTATACTTAAACAAGAGAAGGAATCTGTATTGTTTTGGCATTTAAAAGGATGTATTCATATGAAGCAGAATTTGTCCAAAATCTTATAAGTGAAAAGAAGAAAACACTTGTTGTGGCCTTCAACTCGACATTTAGATATATCGACGACGTATTGTCAATTAACAATGGTTATTTCCATTCATATGTCGATACGATATATCCCGGTGAACTTGAGATAAAAGATACCACAGAGTCTGACACATGTTTCATATTTGGATATTTTACTTGAAAAAGGCGTTAATGGTAATCTAACAACCAAGCTTTAAGATAAACGTGATGACTTTAACTTTTCAATCGTCAACTTCCCTTACTTATGCAGCAATATACCTTCATCACCTGCATACGGGGTTTATATCTCTCAGTTGATTCGATACGCAAGAGCATGCTCTACGTATGTACAATTTCTAAAACGAGGTGAATTATTGACAAACAAGTTGATGAAACAGGAATATCAGCAGTCTCGTTTAATGTCATCATTTCGTAAGTTCTATGGTCGATACAATGATCTTGTCAGCAAATACAATTTATCT